ATAAATTTTTGGGTCTGTCTCTAGAGTAGATATTCAGAATTCAAACACCCGGTGTTGTGCATGTACGGCTTTGATTAGCCAATCGATGCATCGGGTACACCAAATATATATATATATATATATATATATATATATATATATATATTATTCTTTTAATTTTATTGATTTTTTGCTTTATAAGATTTGATTACATAGCTTGTTCCAATTGACTTTGGGTAGAATTGTTCAATCTCTCTCCATATATTTTTATTGAATCTAGCTAAGATTTCAATTCAAGAGAGGCAAAGTGTAAATAAATAAATAAATAAATCAACCAACATTGACATATCAAGCAAAAAGAAAAATTTTAAAAAGAAAAAAAACAAAGGAAGAAGAAAAAATAATAAACTTTGAAAGGAAAAATTACAATTTAATTGAAGAAGAGAAATTCGACTTATTTTTTTATGGAAATTAAAGGAATTTAAAAGTAATAAAAAAAGAAGAAAAAGTTAGAGAAAATTTTAAAAATTAAATTTTTTTGGAAACACTATTATAAAATTTTTCATACATGCCTAAAAAATCAGAAATAATTAATAGTATAAGTTACATTAGGCCATCTTGTAATTCTAGAGGTGGCAATTGTCGTAATCTTATCGTGTCTATCTAAGGGTATTCTTTTAAACAACTCAACCCGAACATGAGACGTTTAATAATATTGTCCGGAACCCTCAACACTAATCCAACCATTTATTAAACGGGTTACACGTGTAACCCGTTTAATAAAATTAAATATTTTATTATTTAATTATTAATAATACTCAATCAAACATTAAATACTAGAAAAATATAAGTTTCAGTTCAACCAAACTACTAAATAATCTCTAATTTACCAAAAAAAAAAATAATTGTAATATACAAGTTTAGATAATTATTTTGAAACTTAAATAGAAACTTGCTTCTGACACGTATAATTAAACAAGTATAAACGGGTCAATCCCTTAAATCAACCACGATACGATTAATTAAACAGGTTAATTGTGTCGACTCGTGGTATTGTGTTCGAATTGTGTTGGCGGGCCGCGTCAAACTTTGCCATCCTTACGTAATTCTCCTTTTTATCATAATTAAGATAATAAAATACTTTTTAGTGGATGTTATTAAAGTGGCCCCCATGCTCAAATAACACGTTCAAACAAATAATAAATACTAAAAATAACACAACATTCAATTCAACTAAATTATTAAATAATCTCTCTAAAAAAGTGAATTAAACTGTATAGATATAAATAATCAAATCTATTTAATTAACTTGTGTGTTTGTGTCAAACTTTTGACACACAGTATAACAACTTTAATAAGAAAGTCTATCAAATTAAAAAACTACATCTAAGTTAGTGACAGGGTTGGGATTGCGCCGTTTCTTTTTCCAATTTTGTCTCCAATGACATCAACTTGAGAGATATTTTTCTCAGATAATCATTCAGACTTGTTGCTCTAGTATACATCTTTTCTTCAAACCTTTTAAGAATTTCCTCAACTCTTGGTAGATGTCTCTCTAGTCGTAACAAGGGAACAATGCGACTCTTCGTTCGTAGAATTATATTGTTGATCACCCTTTGTCGCGCATCTGCCTGCAACTCACTCCTCCAATCGCCGCCGTCCGTCGCCGCTTCACCACCTTGTGCTGCCCTTCCGTTATTACTACTATTCAACATATCTATATATATATATATATATATATATATATATAATTACAAAAAAAAAAAAAAAAAAAAAATTTATATGTTTTGTGTATTGGTGTGTGTATGTATGTATATATATATATAGATAGAGGTGGAGGGGAGAAAGAAACTTGGAATCCAAAATGGAGTAGGATGATTGCGCTTTCAATGTCCCATAAAATTAGGAAGCGAACTTCCTGTATGGTTTGCCAAGCACCTCATTTGGTTTGGAAAATTACTGGAACCTTCTTAAAAAAAAATAAAAATAAAACTATTTTCATCTCCTATCTTTCAAACATATATACGGATACTACCGTCATTTATCATAATAAGTTGAAGGTATTTTAATAAATTAGACAAATTTATTAGTGCATTTTTAATTATCATAATAATTTGATAGAGGTCCGTATAAGTTATTTTCACTTTTAGGAAAGGTTTAAGTAATTTTTCAAATTATAAAAGAAATTATTATCATAATAATTTGATAGAGGTCCGTATAAGTTACTTTCACTTTTAGGAAAGATTTAAGTAATTTCAATTCATAAAAGAAATTTATGTAATTTAACAACCCCCACCCCCGCGGGGCGCTTAAGCAATGTCCTTTGACACTCGTTCCCTTTAAACTCGTTCTCTTTATTGGTATACTTACAGTCATATATATTATTTATTTCTAAGGAATATTAAAAACATAATCATTCAAGAACAAAATTATCCCCCTTTTCTTTTTCTTTTTTATTTATTTATTTATTTATTTTTCACTCCTTATACATTACTGCGTATGTAATACACAAAACTCATCGTCTATGCCTATCACTTATCAAACCATCGCTATCACTCAACTCTGTTTATTCTCTCCACAATTTTACTGCAACTTAAACTCAATTTTATAATTTTACTTTCATTAAAATTTACAATTTTTAAAACTCACCTACATATATGCAACGAATATATCACAGTACATAAAATAAGTGTGAATTCATACTGTACTGTGCACATAAGGTTACCTGAATCCATATAAAGGATATTAAAAAGGGTTAATGGCGACCATTAAAAATGAAATAAAGAAATATATATATATATATATATATACATACACACATACACAGCATATAGATTGAGGGAGGAGAGGTAAGACCGTAAGAATAAGAAAGGCAAATAAAAAAAGTTTAAAAGGGTAATTTTATCCTTAAAAAATTATGTTTTTTTAATGTTTCTTACATAAGAAATAACTAATTAATGAAACAAAAATTAATCAATGACTATGAATTCTTTATTTATTATTCTGTAGTCAAATTATGAAATAGAAAAAACAATTTAATTTGCAAAGATTGAATTGGATTAGACCGAATTTATGAATTGACAAAACAAATGAATACCCTCCAGTATTACAAGTAAAATTTATCTCACATCGAAATTAAATTAAAAAAAATATAAATATGTTCAAGTTTAATATCAATCCGACTTGATAACTTAAGTTTTTAAATTTAATTGAATTGCGACGTTATGGATTGTTACACCAAGTCTCTATGCTTTGACTGTTGACACCTGATGCTATTATTAATTTATTTATTTTAAATGTTTTTCGTAGTGCTATCATGAGGTAGACCTCACATGAACTATTTCTCTGTGATCGACATACGCAATGTCTCACTATGGGACTCTCACAATGTCAGTCGACAAAAGATATATATATATATATATATATATATATATATATATACACACACACACACGCATAGGTGTTATCGCCACGTCTTAGTTGTAGGTTCCTCCTCACATCAGTGAACGAGTGTTGCAAAGTTTTAAAAGTTTTATTGCTCAAATATTAAGAGGCGCATCTAACCAAGGAACCATTCGAAAAGTGATTTTATTAAGATTATGTCGATAGACTCGTTATAATTCATACCAAAATATATTTATTACTAATCATGAGAATTAGTTAAATTTTTATGATATATATATATATATATATTTTTAATTTTATTTGACTAAATTAAACTATCATCTTGATTGTCTTGTCTAACTTATGTTTATGATATTTTAGTTGATTTTTTTTTTCTCCATATTTTCTCACAATGACCCATTTATTATTAATTATGTGCAAGATATAATTTATGTAATTTTTTTCTAAGAGAAGACAAACTGTACTATGCTAATTGCTACCAATTTTAATGTACCATGCCTATTAGGTTCTCTAAGTTATCTAAAGTTGAATAAAGAAAATTTGAAAAGTGTACCGTTTTAATATAAGATAAATTTACCAAAATACTTTAACGACGTTAATATTTTTCGAAAAAGATGGCTTCCTCTCTCTCCTCTTAGAAATTTAAATTGCAAAATCCGTTTACTCTCTTTTTTTGAAATCTAAATTGCAAAATTCCTCTCTTTTTTCATTTAAAAAAAAACAAAAATCTAAATTGCAAAATTCTTCTCTTTTTTTGAAATTTAAATTGCAAAATCCATCACAAAGGTTTTTAATTTACATATTCATTTTTTGCATGAAATATTCTCCCAATAGTGAGAATAAGCAAGAGGAGAGAGAGAACGATCTTTTTCGAAAAAGAACGATGCTAAAATATGTTGAATTTTTCTTATTTCAAAACGATGTAATTTTTAAACTTTGGTAAAATTTTTTTATCACAAAACGGTGCAATTTTTAATGTAATTTAACACAAATCACATATAAATTTTAAATGTTATGTGTCAATTTGTAAAGAATTTAACTAATTAAATAATTTTTTAGCTTCTTAAATATTTTGGTTACTTTTTGGAGGGTTAGTTTTGCCAAACAGAGATGATAGAATATTTTCGGCGGAAGGTGAGAAAGGAAAAGAAAATTTCCAGAGCAAAAGTAAGCGTCGAGTTATGTTTAACCGAACCGACCGACCACACCACCGCCTCGCATCACTGTTCACACTTCCATTAAATATAGTGGTTGTACTATAACAACTCTTACCGGACCGACACGTGGCTCAGCAACCGGTTATCTTCCGGTTGCCAGTTCCTATTGCGCCACGTGCGCTTGTATTGGAGTTGGTCATAGAAATTCAAGAAAACTGGGGTCCCATGTAACAGATTTTCAAGAAAAAACGCTTAAAAAGACTGCAATTCCTTAATTTCTTATTTGGAGCCCAAAACCAGGCTTTCCGTTACGATTCGGCATTCAAAAAGTTGCTCGACCTTTAACAGGTGGCGTTTGGATGTTCACCGCCTTGTTTTCCGGATTGGATTGAAGCCTTCTCCGTCAAGAAATCGCCTTCTTTTGACACATTCATTTCTCGGATTCGAAGGTATGTAGTCAATTTTCGATCAATCGTATTATATATGTGTATCTTATATATGTTTTGATGTGGTTCTGTTGTGTTACGGTTGCTATTGATCTGGAGGCTTGCAATTAGAGCTAGGGTTTGTGATCTTACTAAGCACTTCGATTTTTTAGGGTTCAGGTGAATACGAAATTTCTTAATGATTAAGTTTTCATGATGTGTTTGATTAATTTAATGTTTCTTGATTTCTCTTTAGGTTCTTCTCTGTGTTAATTTTTTGGAAGCAATTGATTTGGGAAGTTTGGAAGTGAACATTTAGGGCATGAGAACTTTTCCCAGTCGTATTCTTCTTTCTTTTTTCTGGGTATTTTGGCGGTTGTAATTGGGAAATGTTTTATAAGTTTACAAAATTTTCAATTTGGGTATAGTTGAGTAACTCAATATATATGGAAGATGAGATTACACAGGACAGATGTCTATGAATAGTCTCAGATAGGACTTAACCCCCACCCCCCAATAAAAGAAAGAAAGAAATAATATTCTGTAATAGGAAAAATAGTCATGTTCTTGTGTTCTTTGCTTCTATGTATAAAAGGCGACGATCCACATGTGATTTTCATTAGTTGAGGGTGTTGGGAGGGACGGGTTGAATAAATAATTAATATTTGATATTATTTGAACTCTTGAACTCACGTTGTCGCGCATGGCAATCTGAACGTTTTCCATTTTATCAAGCAATAGTTCATAAGGAACCTAAATATTTTACGAGGAAGGAGCGGATTGACAAATTTCTTGGAATTTGTGCTATTGTAGTAAATTAAGACAAACTTGGCAAGTTCATATTTGAATGGATATTTGCGTTGGAGTAATGATTGCTAAGGATTGTACCCCAGTGGTTTTTCCTCTACCTTTCAAAGTGGAGGTTTGATGGTTTGTAAGTCCTCGTAAGGATAAACTGAGTGTGTGAGTAACTTGACAGGGCAACCACAAAAAAAAGAAAGAAAGAAGAAGTTGGAGTAATGATTGCGTGTCTTGAGAAAATGAAAGCCTACATTTGGTAGGAGGGAAGGAAGAGAAGAGGGATGAAACATACTATTGTTGTTTGGTAGAAAGGAGAGGAAGATGGAAAGGATGAGGCATGCCTTCTGGCCCACCATTTTGCTTCCATAAAAAATTGGGAGGAAGAGAGAGAATAAAGGATTATATGTTTCATTAAATTAAAGACTTTATCCCATCATTAAGTGTATTAATTTATTTATTTCATTGTATATTGATAAAATAATAATATAATATTATAAACCCTTTCCTTCAGTTCCACTCAACAATGGAGGAATGCCCTCTCTTGGTAGTTGTTTATAAAGCTCAATCAAGCAGTTATGTTATTTTGGGTCACACCCCACTGGGAAATTAAGATAGCATAGAAAGTCATATTTGTCCAAGAATAAATATTTTTGAAAAATTAATTATAACCTTCGTATAGTTGCATGCTCTGTTAGTATTGACCTTAAAAGTGATTTATTGCTGAGAGATTGGTTTCCTTTGAAACTGTGTAGCTAGATTTAAACAACATCATTTGTTGTATATTTAGAGATTAATAATTAGTGCAAGATCTTGTGGTTATCTGAAATTGCTCTTCATGTGATAAATACATTGAATGTTTAGCTCAACGAAGTTCTCATGTGTTCTAAAGTTAATTGTTTTTTAGAGATTGCTTTTGTTTGTAACTGTGAAAACTAGATTTTTAAAGGGTTTGTGTTGTATACTTGATAAATAGTTAGTGCAGTATCTTGTGGTTATCTGAATTTGCTATTTGTGCCACATACACATTGAATGATGAGCTCAATGTAATTTTCATGTACTATAAAATTAAAAGTGTAATAGTGTAAGTAGGAATGATAACCTTTTTTTTTTTTTTTTTTTTACCAATGGGCCTAGCGGTATCAGCTTCTTACTTCCCAAAAGGAGGTCAGGGGTTCAAGTCTTAGAAGAGACAAGTGTGTGTGAGTACCAACTAGGGGAAAAAAAAAAAAAGAAAAAGAAAAAGAAAAAGAAAAAAGATAACCTTTTTGTTTAGTGAATATCATAAAATTTTAGTTAGGAATATACTCAGGAAATAACTGTTACTAAACCACATTTGTATAGGGGCTGAGCTTTGTTGAAAGTTAAACAAGGAGATGGTTAATTATGAGCTCGATCCTGATGTTGTTCGGTGGGGTCTTCATCTTCTAGATGTTTGCTCACTTTCTAATTCACCTGGTAGTTTAACTAAATATGAGGAACTATCTCAAGTCGAGTATGTCAAGGAAGGTTATTGTGAGACAAAGCATGTCAATGTGGAGAATGACGAAATAATTGCACTTGCCTTACAAGAAGAACTATCACGAGTTGCAGCTTCAGAAGCATCTGGATCTCCACATGCTGGGGAAGACAATTTGCAAGCATCCATTCTTGCTCAGGATTGGCTTGGTCCTTCAAAGAGACATTGCACTCCTGGTATAGGGAAAGCCTTTGGTTTCCATTTTGATTTGTTCGTTAGTCGGCTATAGCTATAGTGTTTTCTCTCAAATTTATTCTGATAATGTTGTCACAATGTGTAGTGCATGAGAACTGTCAGGAAGAGGCAGATGAAACAGGAATATCCAGTTCATGTTCTAGCCCGGGAGAAAAATCAGTTAGTGGGGAGGAACAGTTGGATTTACCGGAGATAGCAAATGAGTATAGTCTTGATGGTAAAGTAGGAAAGAGGTTGAATCAGATGGTTCCTGTTCGTGTAAGTGTAGTAGCTTCTCTGTAGTTATATTCTTGCCATTTTAAAATTATATAAAAGAATAGCTTTCGACTTGATTTTATGAATTTCATCTATTGTTTTTCTGGTGGCATCATGATTGTTTCCCCCCCTAACATAAGTCCTCTGATCAGTCATGCATTGAAGTATTAGGTGAGATAACGATGATGCTCCTCATGGTATTACTCCATCAAATGTTTTATAAATTAATGTTTTATCTTTTTTGAAACTATTCTTATTGTTGTGACCATACATTTGGGACAACTTATTAACTAAAATTGATCATTTTGTACTAAAATTTGTGATAAATAGAGCTTATTGTTTGCTTGTATTTTGGTTGTAAAGGCACAGCTGTTGAAATGTGTTGTGTTTAGCGAAGGCTTTATATTTTGAATGTGCATGGAAGCATATATGTCTAGAGTGGTTATGTCTTTAGATTCTGTGTTACCTCTTGTATTTTCTATGGATTAAAAGATCATTTAGACACCATTCACTTTATGCCCAATGGAATATGTGTGCATACCCCTGGACACAAATACTTATGTATAAAAATTGTGCGCATGTGCTCTCACTTTCTTGTACAGATTCACTTCTGGCCACTTATTGTTTTTTTCGGTAATTTACTTTTGATCAGTAATTGTTCTTGGTGCATGGTCACCAAAGGGCCAAATGGCCCAGTGGTACCGGCTCTTATGGAGGTGCTTGGGTGTGTGCGTGGTTGCTACTTACCTATAAAATAAAAATAAAATTGTTCTTGATGCATAGTTTCCAAATCTACAACCTTATTTATTAGCAGAAAGAGGGACAATTTTGCAGGACTTTTTATGCTTCTTGTTGAGGCAGTGGAAGTGCGCGAACGCAAAGATCTAGTGAAAGCCAACAAAGCAATCACACACAAAGACAAGATATACATGGCTCACCCAAACTCAGGGCTACATCCATGAGAAGTATTGGGTTGTTAGAAAATAAAATAAATAAAAAGTATTATTTTCAAATTTTGGATACGTTTAGGAAATATCAGACACCTGGAAAGCATAGATACTTCCCCGAGAGTGCCGTAGCCGTATCGGATATGGACATTGGATATGTGCAGGATATGTTAGATGCATATTCGATACATTTAGGAACTATAAGACAGTGAGACAGACATGTATCCTCGAATATTTGAGGAGTGTCGATGACTCTGTATCCAAAATAGACATGATGCAAACACGTGTATTCAGGCTGCATAGGACAAAATAGATCTCCATTCTTTCTCCACCAATAAAAATCTAGTTATTTGTGTCATCTAATAAAGTTAACATTTTAGAAGTTTTAATAAGTGCAAATAAATATTATTTTGAAACATTTCCTAACAGTATATAATTTTATTGCCAAATCTGTTTAAATTTTGTGTTAATATGATAATATGATTTTTTTTAATTTATTTTTTATTTTTATGATACTAGACTAATGGCCTGAGGTTTGTCATTAGAGAATAGTTAGTTCGACAAGTTTTCATTTCAAGCGAAGGTATCACGTGATGATGTCGTAACTAAGACTCGTGTGATATAGGATAACTTATATCTTAGAGAAGCATAAATATCTTTCCTTTTAATTTTCTCTTTTCTTTGACTTTGATTTTTATTGCATCAAATGAAGCTTCCATGTGCTTGGGCATATTTTTGTTTTATAATTGGTTAACTAGACTATGGCCGTAAAACTCCAAACCAGACTGGAGTTGACACTTACATTTTTCTAACTGGTTTTTTACAGCATATTCCTAAAATTAATGGAGAAATACCCTCGGTTGATGAAGCAACATCAGATCATCAAAGGCTGCTGGACAGGTCATGTATCACATTTTCCTCTTCATACTTTTATATTTTTATTTTATGTCAGTTTCCTTCCTTCTGGACTTTGTGCTTGATTGATGTTTTGGGCTTTTTTGTCCTCGTTTTCAGACTTATAATGGAATCAAATGATTTCCCCCCCTTCTGGCTTCAATATTACGTTTTTAATTGGTTTATTGTGTAACTTGCGTTAACTTCTTGTTGCTTCAGAACTAGCTCTTGAAGACACTCTTTAAGTTGTGGCACCATTTCTAACTCTCAGCTCAACTCAACTCAACAAGTCTGAACTCCAACGACTTGCATTCAAAATATAAACTTTCTTAACTAGATTATAAAAACTTATTTATGATATATGGAAGGGGCAATGGTGCTCATACACACGAAGACATCTTATATTCAAGTATAACTCACTGTGACAATATAGCATAGAAACATTATAAACTTTTAACTAAACAATTTAGCCTGCATTCCCAGATGATAGACATGCAAAGATATATCATACACAGACGGCAGATTTGGCCTGCAATGCTCTCTCTATTATTACTGGAAACTACTGACCACAATTAGCTTCATCACCTCAAGTTATCAAACACTTGCAACATTCTAGCCAACTGTCCTAGCTAAACCACTTCTCTTACTCTCTCTCCATCTCTCTCTCACTGACTGCTGAAAAATACAGCAGTTTAGCCCATTTGCACAGTTAAGAATGTGGGCCTTATTTACCTGCTTCAAACTTTCAAAGTTGAATTAGGTTAGTGACATGCCAACATATACATTTGTGAATGTGCGCATATACATATATCATATGTTTGTGAGAGTTGATTTATTTATATATTTTATTTTTATAAGAATATTTGATTATAGATGTGTAAAAAAGTAAAAACTAAAAACACATATATGTGTACATGCATAAATCGTGGTAGTAGGATGACTTTTAGGTTGATAATGCAGGGCATTAGAGTACGACCTGCAAGGAGAAAGCTTTTAGTCAGGAGGTTTCTGCATGCATTGATTGTACAATCCTATTCTCATAAGTAGAATGGCTCACAGTTTTGTCTTCGGAAGCGCTCGGCACTCGTGAGGTAAAAATACTCCGGAGGAGGGGGAAAGGTATTATGGGTATGGGATTTGAGGCCCTCGGTGTAACGCAGGATCACGGGATACTATCAGTAATGGCAATTAGGCAGAGGGCAGAGTGTCTATGATGGGATCGGCTACGTCTTTGACACTTTCGAAACAGTCACATAGATTGTTTGAGAGGAGAGTCAAGCTGGGCAGTAAATCAATGTTATGGTCGTAGCTTGGGAGCGACAAAACTGGGTTGAGGCTTGTTCTAGTTTTTGCTGGTGATACGGATTTGATGTATGCCACGGTACACCCTATCTCACTGTATGAAACCTTTACAAGCCAAGGCGTAGGTCAGGTGGTCATGACAATGATGCACACATAGTCCCCAATCAATCATGGGTTGACACTAGTTGCGAGGCGTCATGTTCCCAAAACGGGAGAAGTGGTCTGTCATGGCATCGTGGCTTGAACTAAGGGCTCGTCAAAGTGGGATAAGGGTATGAGCATCCGTGATTGTGGCTGATTCACGACCCAGTGAAGGGAACATGTGTACTTGACCAAGGAATCGATGATGAGGACATTTGATGCATAGTAGCAACCACAAAAATATTCTGTCACTGCATGTGCCTAAAAGCATAAAATTCAGTGCCATAGTGACAGGAGGGATCAGCTGGTCCAGAGATTCTGTCCAGTCCTCTCATGGTCCTTGCCTAAGTTCTCTCCCCACCTCAGCTCGATCTCCTTTTCTCTCTTGGTACCTGTGAATCACTCCACTCCTTCCTTTTAAGATGGAAAAGGCATTGAACACCCCGTGTTACAATATGTAGAGTTAAAAGCGAAAAGGGTAAAGAATTTGTAAGAAAAGAAGTGGCATATTGCGTATGCCATCTAAGCTAGCCATTGACGTTTTAATTAGTCTTTGCCCCTTGTGCTGTAATACTTTTACATTTGTACAAAATGGAGGAAAATGAATTGGGGGTGGTTAACTATAATATTTTTCAAGCAATGCATATGTTAGTAACCCTCACTATTTTATTTTTTATATATATATTTTTATTTTTTATTTTTTCTAAAGGCCTCCTTTTTGCCTTTTCTATTACGTAGGTAAATCCCTCTTTTCATTTATTAAACGAGAGAGGTGGAAAAAGGAGGAAATTTTACAGGATGTAAAGACATTAAAGTAATATAAAATAAAACAAAATAAATTTAATTTAAATTGAATTAAGCTGAATTGGGAAAAATATTGAAGAGAACATTATAAAAGAGAAAAAAAAAATAGTGGTGTAGAAATATGCTTGAGCCTATATATCAGTTTAGGCCGGCTGAAAGCCATGCAGCCTGCCTGCTATATCATATATGTGGCATTCTGAGCAAAGTTCCTGGCATACCATCGATCTTCAATGTGTGTCCCATGTGTTCAATGTCAATGTTTTTGAGGCCTGTGGATGACTTCGTCCATTGTGTCCCGGTCTTGTGGGGGCAATCTTTGTCCTTTCATATTTTTAATGAGGGAAAAGAAAGTAGAAAAAGAAGAGTAAAATTTACAGGATGTAAAGAAAGTAAAATAGAATGGAACAATTCCATAAATGAGTGAATGAGATAATCCAAACATTAGATCATAATGAGGGTCAAAACATGTTTTGGCCTATACATCAGGTTAGGCCAGGTGAGAGCTATGTAGCCTATCAATTGTATTGGGATGTGTGCATGGAAGATGTCTAAAGCTGGCTGGAGAAAGAAAATTCAAGTAGCTGGCCATAAGTGATTGGGTTTTAAGTTTGTTTAGTTGACGGGCCTTCAAAGCTTCCAGCCTTGGGATGACTCAAGTACTCAAGGAAGGTGGTTTCTGCCATTATTAGTTGGTCTGAAGCTGTGAATTTTGGTCTTTGGAAATATATGCTCATTTGTTGAATGAGGTTGTCAATTTTTTTGCTTCTTTGGAACTTAATTTTGTGGAGGGAAGTCACTAAACCCGAACCACACTGTTCAGCTACAACGGTTGCCACCATAGTACGAATCTATTGAAGGGAAATTTTACCAGCATTGAGTCTTCTTTTTATGGCCTTAAGTTCTGTTTACTTTTGTGGCAAGGTTCTCATCTGTGTGGTTTCTTGTACTGTATATCGGCTTTCTTCTTTTCTTATAGACTTTCTACACTCTTGTTCTTGAAGAAACCTGTAATCTCCTTCCTTCCAGATATTTTTATTGGTGTTGCCATTTCTTGCAGGAAAGTACAGTAACCTGTAAGATTGTTTCTAGTTTTTACGTTGGGCATGACCACCTTATTACATGGCTTTGTAAATAATTTTTGAAGAAACGTTTGTCCAAATTTTCTCTTCATATCCTTTTCCCCTTTGGCTTTGTCTGTTTCTCTCTCTCTCTCTTCTTCTTTTTTATTTTTTATTTATTTATTTATTTTTGTTACATAAATGTTTCTTATGCTTTATTTTCATCTATTTTTTTTGTGTTTCAAATGCACTGCATATGAAGTAGGTACGGATTTAGTATTTCTCATGCTACAATTGTTTGCTCTTTTTTCAGATTACAGTTATATGATCTGGTTGAGCTGAAGGTTCAAGGGGATGGTAATTGTCAGGTTAGTTATTCTTTTCTAATTTTTTTTCTGGCAAAATACTAGGACGTGGAAGTGAAAAATTATTTTTTCTTTCTGATAAGTAAAATGACACTTAAAAGGTGCCAAAAAAATGGTGGTTCAGCCCCTTTACGTGGGAGATATATGATGAAGCAAACAAACAAAAGAAAAATAAATGACACAGATTTTTTGCTTTATAGTCTTGAGATAATTGTTAATATACTATAAGTATTTTTGTTATAGACTGTGATCACTTACATCAGAAACCGTATTTAAAAGCATGACAGCACATCAGGTGTCCTAGGCACTTCCCAGTGCATGGGAACATCAACTTTTCAACTGTTCATATCATTTTGAGAAGAACTCTTCTTCTACTCTAGCTAGTGATAGGAAGGTCAATCCATCCATTAATAAATGATTTGGTAGTGCATCAGTATGGAGGGAAGTCTGTTGTTGGCAGTAGAATTGTGCCATTGTCCGTAGGCTACCTCTATTCTTTCTCTTCATTTTCCCTTATCTTCTCCCATCTTCGCATCATTCCAAAGTTGCTCTTCATGTCACACATGACAATATCTTCGTCCCTATTCTCTTCTGTCCCTTCTAGAAAACTCAGACTTACAGAGTAACAATGGTGCGTTTATTCTGATTACTGTTTTTTATGCAAATGAAATCATTGATTTCTTTTTATCCTCCTATAATACCCACAATATTAATCAACAGATTCACATTATCGGACTCGGTTAATATACGTGATGTTTATTTCTATGATTTTTATTACTGACTAATGCTGTAAGAAAGCCAAATTTATAATTTTGGTCCTTAAATTTTTATGCCATTAAACTGGTGCCTTATTGGTTCCATACTCTTTCAGTTTCGTGCTTTGTCAGATCAAATATATCGAACTACTGAGCATCACAAATTTGTGAGAGAAGGAGTTGTCAATCAGGTTTGTTACTTTTGATATCTATAAGATAGGTGTATTTCTTTTCTAATTGAATTTTTTAATGCCATAATTGAGTTGCTGTTGGAATTTGTTGATGCCATCAGCTCAAGTCTCACCCAGAATTGTATGAGGGTTATGTTCCTATGGCTTTCGATGACTATTTGAAGAATATTAGCAAGTATGATACTGTTGTTTATTTTTTGTTCTTTTTTTCTTTTGTCATTAATGTTTCTTTTTCTAGTGAAACTCGATCATGCTTATGTTTTTTTTATTTTATTTATGTAATATTAGGACTGGTCATGCTTACGTTTGTTTATTTCTTTATGCAATATTAGGACTGGTGAATGGGGTGATCATGTCACGTTGCAGGCTGCTGCAGATTCGGTAACTCTCTCTCCCTCCCTCCCCGTTTCTTAGGTAGCTATTAGCTTTAGATGAGGATAAGGTGAAGAATGTTGTCTTGTTTTTCATGTGTCTAAAGATTTATGGATGCACTGGTGAGGAGTTATTTGTTTCAAGGTGTAGTAGGTTCATCAAGAAGAATAAGGGCTGTATACATAATTGGGGATACAAGAATATGGTTATCAAGTTGTAGACACTATGGTTATCAAGTTGTAGACACTATGACTAGTAGGAGGTAAATTTTTGACGTGGGTGGATAAGAGGGAGAAAGAAGAATGTAGAACAAGAAGACACAACCAAGAGGAGTAGGATAAACAAGAGTTATGCACTACAATATTGTCAACTATAAAATATAATTTAAAAGCTACAAACTTTATCTTCCCACCCATAGATATACTACTTCATCGAGCACTTGATTAAATTTGTTTACGACTCTCAACCAAACATAAAACACAAAGATGACAACAAAACAATATTAAATTTAACACAAAATACTAGACAACTATAAATATGGGCAGATGAACAAAAGTTTTTCATTCCAAACCAAATTTTCAAGATTACTCTCGGTCTTCTACTCTGCCATCTTGGCATTCACATAAGCTTGACATAGGTGTCATGTTGGCACTACATCAATATTGCATGCCTCCAGTAAAGTAGCAAGTAGGTGAAAAGTTCAGGCAAATTGGAAGTACTGGATGCCGGCTCTATTCCATAGACAATATAAGATAGAGAAGTAGAGTGTGGATAATAGTTGATCAAAATCTAAAAGAATAACTGCAACTAGATGAGATAATTTTAATAGAATTTGTATTGGTAAAATATAATTTTAAGTAGTGGATAATTGTTAATAACCTTAAAGGTGGATTAAATAGGTGTCAGTTTTTTTAATTTCCTAATTGGTACTCACACAGCTGCAGAAACAAACCCCCCCCCCCCCCCCCCCCCCCCCCCCCCCCCCCCCCCCCCCCCCCCCCCCCCCCCCCCCCCCCCCCCCCCCCACAAAAAAAAAAAATGGAATTGTTTGCACCTAGCAGAAATAGGTGTCAGATTGATTGTTGTTTTAACAAGAAGGGTAAATCAACTAACATGCAAAGATTGTAAATTATGCCAAGAGATCACTAACATTGCAAAAGAGGTTGATGCTTTAGGTGTATATTAAAGGACAGTAAAAAATGCGAAAAGATATTAGGAGTCCATGAGACAGGTGATGCAATTTAAAAGGGAAGAATGTAAATTATTTTGCCAAGTTAAAGCATATAAAACTAGAGTTTTTAATCATATCAACTTCATTAGGAGTGAAGATTTATGGGTCTTGATGAAAGGTGGTAAACCTGGAGAAATGTGGTAAAGTTACTTTGAGAAGTTTTTGAATGAAAATCATATGAACAGTTTAGATTAGAAAATATGGTAACTTTAGTGAGACTAGGAAAAATAATCTTTGCATAAAATTAGGGGGTGTGAAGTAAAAAATGTACCAATGAATTATGAAGATAACAACATTTTTGTTGAAGCTTGGAAGTGTTTAGGTGATGATAGTATGTATTGGCTGATAGATTGGTTCAATTAGTTTATAGCACCTAATGAAGTGTTGTATGATTAGCGAAAAAATAATTTGTGTCGTCTATATAAAAATGAAGCCGCCACCAAAAACAAACACCAACCCACAAAATTAGTGTGAGTCTGTAAAGGAGCTGTGATATATAGTAAGAATAGTTGCACGAGAAACGAGCCAATTTTCACATTATGGGCTTATGTTACGACAAATACAGAAAACCCAAGCAACAATTACGAAACACCACAGAAAAATAAACACACCACACACAAAGAACACAAAGATTTATACGAGGTTGGGCAAAGCCTACGTCCACGGTGGAGATCCAGAGAAAGTTTTCATTATGTGTAAAATTGGAGATTACAAGTTTCAGCCCCTCACTATCTTTTTGTACAATTTTCAGTGTCTTATCTCTTCCCACTGCAAACCCTAAACGCCCTTATATATCGGGCTACAAGAAAATACTAATTAGGGTCCACGGCCCACAAGCAAAAACAGGTAAAAAGCGGGCCGCAACGCGATCCGGCACCAAATTCGGGCCACAACATCACAGCTTACATTAGTGATTGACATTAAGTCCTTGTCTTTTTTACCGTAGTTATAATGAAATGACATAACATATTCAGGATGAGGTTATCTAGTTACAAAACATATTCAACCAGAGGTTATCTGCTCTTTGATGATGATGATAAAATATAAATGGAAGGTTTGGAGAGAAGTCTTATAATGAGTTTTGCTGAAGTGAAATTGTTGAAATGGACTTTTTTTAAGACAGGAAGGATATATAATTAATAAATGAATGCGTTCGTGAGACAGTGGAAACAGTGCTTATTGAAAAAGAAAATGACAGTAAGTCAATTAATATCGTTTGATCATGTATAATAAAGATGAATAACTGCATTGGAGAGGAAAAGTGTTGTGATCCCCGTTGAGGATCATGCTAAGGAAAGGAAACTCCAAAATTGATTATAGAAAAGATATGATGGTGTGATCCACGTTGAGGATCATGCTAAGGAAGGGAAACTCCAAAATTGATAAGAGAAAAGATGTGATGGTGTGTCCTTTAACTGAAGTTATGTCCTTATATAGAGTAAAATGGCATAATTGGGATTCATATAGTCGATCACAAATAGATGGGATAAGGATTTGTTGCGTAGAGTTGAATGAAGTTGACTTCAATTGAGTTGCGATTATTTAGGAATACTTTGTGGTAGTTAATTAAACGAATTCACTTGTTAATGAATCTGTACATTTAGGAATAGTTTCTCTTAAACATGTTTGATAACATTTCTCAATACACACAAGATCTTTGGACAGCCTTCTGTTTTTTTTTTTTTTTTTTTTCAAGGTCTCATGGCTGGCTCTTTTTTGCACTTTTTTCACTACTTTATACTACGCCACGTTGTAAATTGATTTAAATTTCCTGACTAGTCTTTACTTTTATGGATGGGTTCATTAGTTGCATAACTATAATTAATTGATTTTTTAATTCATATTTTACTCATGACAATTACTTTGTTATAATCTTATTGCAGTATGGTGTGAAGATATTTGTCATAACATCTTTCAAGGATACTTGTTACATTGAGATTCTTCCACACATTCAGAAATCAAAAAGAAGTAAGTGTTCAGGATTTTTTATTTTTTGTTATTAAAGTGATATATGTTCATCCCCCACAGCAGATTGGCTCACTGATAAAACCACAAGAAAGTGACGTAGGACTGGAATGTCGTTCAGTTTGTTAACAAAAGTAGAACTAAGAAGGTGTAGGATAATGCACACTAAGAAGAACATGAATGGCACCATACCAAGTAGAATTGATAACGGAAGATTGTATTAGTACTACCTTAGGAAGAGGACCTAATAGAACATCGAGAGAATTCACTTAATTTTTCTATTTGTTCATTTATTATTTTGCCATGCAACCGTTACCACATTGTTAAAATGGAAAAATAAATAAATAAAATTTGTTGAAATTTCCTCTACATAAAAACCCTCCTAGATGGTGCAGACTAATAAAAATGAAAAAATAATGAGAGTGCAGAATAATGCATGCCAATAACATATCAAATAATGCACATCAAGTAGAACTGCTATCTGAGGATGGAACCAGCAGTGACTCAGGGATTTTGACAATTTTGTCTACTAAAATATTTGGTCGTATTTCCACACCAAAGATCACGACCTACTTTTTTTTTTTGGCAGGAAGCTTCACTCATATTCAAGTCCTTCTAATGGTGTCAAATCTTCAGTTTGATTACTCTATTTCGCACTAGATGACTTCATCCTGATAATTTTTTCATCACTTATTTATTCCTCTTGTTTTAAATTTTTTTTATGTTAATATAACGTTTAATATACTCTCTCTTTAATTTGCAGTATTGATTGAAATTGCAGTTTTTCAATACTCCATACGAGAATATAGTCATATACTGTTCTAATTCTGGTCTTTGGGAAGTTTTGTGTCTTCTGCTATTACTTTGTTACATTTGTTATGCTCAACAAAATTGTAGCATAACCGTTTCTGATTTGTGTCTTATGCAGCAATTTTCTTGAGCTTCTGGGCAGAGGTGCATTATAACTCGATTTATCCAGAAGGAGGTAAAGATATATGTGACATAAGCTGGTTTTGCTCAAAGTGTGATCCTTAGCCATTTTTATATTAAAGCATGAAATTTAAAATATTTTGTCCTCACTCTTTTGTTCCTTTAGGCTATTCCTAATTCTTTAGTACCTTTAGTTGCATCCCATGAAATTATTGATGCTATCATGGTCTTGTCTTGCTTGTCAAATTTGATAAATCACTTCTCAGTACCATGTCACGTATCCTATTGATCATCCTCAGAAATGCATAAATAAATTGGTCAACTATTTCATACTTTAGCATCTTTCGTGTATCCTTTTTGATTAATAACGAAGACTCTAATTTATCGACTTGCAACTACCACTTGTTTTTGGTTCCATAAACGAACAAAATGCACTTTTTCATAGTGGAAACTATTGTATCTTAATTGATATGTAAATATTACAAGGATATGCATTTTGTTTAATGGAGATGAGAAGCCAACCATGAATTTTACGTGTCTAAATTGGTTATTTAGGCCTCAAGGAGAGTTGCAAAATGAGAAGATGAAAATGAAAGTTCTTTTCATTGGAAAAATAGATTAAGCAAAGAAGACCCAAACATCTCTTTGCAGGGAAGTATCATTTGTAATAGATTTTGACCAATTGCCATTTTATGCTCAAAAACTCTCATTGTCAACTGTTGTTTCTTCACCTCGTCATTTTACTTAGAAAGACAAGGAAAATCTGATATATGGAAGATGTTTTAACATGTGGGAAATAGAATGGACGTCAAATTAGGACCTAACAAGTATAGCCATGTGGCAAGGTACAATATCAAGCATAGCTCAATTTTCAGTGTACTTGTACACACAAATGCGCGCCTGATAAAACTGACCACCATTTGGGGGGCGCTGTTCTGGTGCTGTTTGTTTAGACTGTTTTTGCAAGTCATATGGCCTGTTCTAAAAGTTTTGGTACAATAAGTGGAATTACAAACCTTGTATGATAACAACTACAATCCTCGCATAATAACAACTACTTGTTTCCTTATGCTTTCACAATCTAAATTTTTTATTCGTGCTGATGATCAATCTGTGTGTGTGCGCGCGCGCGTGTTTGTCTCTCCCTCTCACACACAAATTTCAGAGGTTGTGTTAACTATTTTTCACAGTGAGGTCAAATGGTTTAACGATTATCTTCCTTATAAGTTTTCATCTATTTTATTTTTTTTTAAACTCCAAAAGCCTCTCGCTTTCATAAACTGCTACCTCTAGCGTTTACATCTTAAAGTGCAGCCATGTGGCAAGAAACATTGTTGAGTAATATTTCCTTTACATTAGTATGTGATAACACACTTACTGAATAAAAAAAATTAAAATGTTTGATAACGCTTAACTAACCTAGACTCTGTTGACTGGTGTTAAGTAATGCCCGTTTGTTTGTGTTCATGTTTTAAGGATAGGATACAACGAACTCAAATGCTTTTCTGCTCTCAGTATCACTTGTCCTCTCTGTTTCTCTCTGTGGTGTCTGAATTAATTTTTAACAATGAGAATCAGGCGTTTCGAATTTATAGTGACAGGATTTTGCAGTAGTAGGATCTTTGCCTAGTATTTCAATTGCTTTAATCTTTACCTCTTTATTTTGTTTTATGTTCAGAAATTCCTGTATTAGAGACTAAGAAAAAGAAGAAGTGGTGGATGCTTTGAAATTAGATGCAATTTGATGTCCATGGGGATTTGCAACAAACTTCTTGCTCAGATTCTTTCGTCCGTGGAAGAAGCTTCGATTTGTTTTTTTTGTTGACAATTCTACTGCTTCCGTCTCCTCTCAAGGTGGATTTTATCCGGTGGGTGTCATTCAATGCTTTGCAATATCATCGACGACAGAGCTGCTGCTGCTGCTAATGTGCCCTAGCTCAACCTGTACATAATGATATTTTGGTTTAGAGGCATCTATTCTTTCTTTAATGCCTACTATTATTCCTTTCTGAAGATGTCACATTTGGTTCCCCCATCCCTCATTTATTTATTCATTGCTACTCGTTTGAAGGTTTTGTATGTACATAGCATTTATTAACTTTATATAGTAACTAGAACCAACAGACCATGATTTTGATCTATTTAGTCTTTTCTTCACCCTGTATACATATTCTTTTTTGTAAATATAAACATTTGTTTCTAATTCGGTTTCATATGAAAATTTCGAGATATATACTCTATATCCCCAATGGCCAATGATAAATGTGTCGCAGAAAACTCTCCTAAGCTAAGGAAAAATTGAAAACCCTTCTAAGGAGTTTGGCTCACATGGACATGAATGTAAGATTACTACTATATCTTTCATGAAAAAGAAAGAACAAATTGCAAAAAGATCTCTTCAACCATCAAATTTTCACTGTTAAATTGTAAAGTAAAATTACTAAAGTGCTTTCAGGAATGAACTAGGAAAATTTAAAATAAAATACCAATAGGACCCAAATCAGTTAATTCATTCAATGAAATTGTAAATAGATTAATTCATTCAATGACATTATTTTGAGTTAGTGGTATTTTATATACTGTATTTATTTTATTTTTTTGAATTTCATTACTAGGCGCTTTTTTAGTAATTTTACATGAGTCAACATAGACTTGGCGGTTAACGCCAGGGAGTATTTTGTACAATTTTGAAAGGTGGTCTTTAGCTCAAAAAAAAAAAAACATGTCTAGAGGATTGATTGCAAGCTAAATCAGTAGGTGGATAGTTCAGTTTATTGTAAGAGTAGTTTAGTCATTATTCATTAACAAGTCAGCGTTAAAATACAAAATATATGGGAGATACCCGAAAAAATTAGGGGTACACACAGTCCGATTTTTGACGGAACTGGAACTAGAACTATTCCTAACGGTTCTTAAAAATTGGAATTAGAATCGGAACTGTTGGAACATAGAGGCAAGGACGGAGGGAGGTAGTGGGCTTCAGCCCACCCCAAAAAAAAAAAAAAAAAAAAAAAAAAAAAAATAATAATAATAATAAAATAAAATTTACTATACTACTTTTAGCCCAGCCCAAAAAAAAAAAAAAAAAAAAATTAGTATATTAGCCCACAAAATTAGCCCACCCCATTCAGAAATTCTGGATCCGCCCTTGCATAAAAGTGAACCGAACCGTGAAGTTCGATCTGGTTCGGTTTGATTCCTCGGTTCCCATATACAATTTGAAATTAGTTATAATTTTTTTTTTATATATATTTTTTCCTAAATGGTACTCACACACATACTTTCACTTTGAACCCTGACATTCTACTGACTTGTGTTGGTTATTATAATTTAAAAGGCAAAAATTTTAATGTTTTCTACTCCATTCAACTTTCACCATTACAGCATTCAAAGAATCAAAAGGCCGGAAGATTGCTTTAAAATTAGGTAAGATTGCTTGAAAAACCCTTTTTTGATAGCAGAAATTGTCTGTGTATTTGCAATCAGAATCCAACAATCATATCAAAATATCTCAGAGACCAGAGACTAATTAGTGAATTGAATTTATTGTTTCTACAGCAAAAACATGTAAAAACACTAATTCGTAATTTAACTTTGGACCATGAAGCATCTCGGTACTATACTACAAAACAAATCATTATTTACCAAACATGTGGCGGCCCAAAACGATACTACAGCACCCAACCTAGTGACATATATTCTCACACTTCCACACCATTTGTCCATTAGAAAAGAAACAATAAAGAAATCTCACTCCGTGCCTTTTTTTTTTTTTTTTTTAATCTTATTTTGACCATAGAAGAAATTAGGTATAGAAGAAATATCTAACCATAGGTCCATAACCAAGACGGAAATTCATATCCCACATGACATTCATTAGCAGCCACAAAAAAAAAATAAAAATAAAATAAAAGTAGCGAAAAGATAACAGCAAAGAGAGTCCAACACATTATATCTCCTGAAGAAAATTAAGAATATTTACATATAAATTGGGTTCTCAATGTGTCATGGGCTCCCCCTAACATGCACCCTACCACCTTTCCCTTACAGCAGTAATTGACCATTTACACTCATCAGATTCTCTTCACAAATTGTAAAACAATATACATGTAAAATCCCAGAAAGGCTAGGCATCTAAAACTTGCTCCCGCTCTCTCCCTCTCTAACATTGATTCCTATCGCGCTCCAACATCAAATTACAAACTGCGAGCCAAAATATACAGAGGAACTAGACAAGGAAGTTATTATTCCAGCAGGCTTGTTAAATTTTTGTGCTTATTTACAACTCTATAAAGCTCTCTAGAAAATTCTCACTCGAGCGATCAATTACTAACGTATCATCCATGTTAGCTGTACAGAGAAGTGTCTTCTTTCATGCCACGTTAGAATACCTCAAGCAGAATATGAAGATGTTAGCCCAATGCGCCTTTCTGCAGATCAGGTGTTTAAATTCATAAAACAATAATAATGATTAACGGAAGTCACCCCCCAAAAGAAACAAAATCCTAATAATAGAAACCCTAGCAAAGAGAAGCAAACCAAAATTTACCAAAAACAAGATTCCTTACCGCCTGCTGTGATGAGCTTTTCAACACGAGAAACGATATGTTTACCATAAGTATACCTCTTCAAGGCATTCAAGTGAACCTTGATACGAGACAGAATTAAATCACGGCTCTGATCATCACAGGTCTCGATTACTTTCTGCACAACGTAGTTTCCAAACGGATCTTTCATCATGGCCTGCAGTTCACATTTCACAAATTCTGATCATCCAACAAACACTTTCACGGGGGAATGAAAGCAGGAATGCTAGTATAAAGGAAACTATAAAACAAAGATGAGTTAAATTGTCCGTCCTTTGTTAAGTGAAATGAACTTCGTAAGCTTCAACTTACAATAACCTAGCAGTGCTGACTTCTCACAAATAAACAAAAAATAACTAGCACGAATGGTGTCTGTCAAAACCGCTGCCACGAACAATAGCATGGATTAATTTGCAAGTTCATATAAACCTTGGGATCCTATAATATGGTAGTTACAAAGTCTGTACTTGTTGACTACCATGGGACTTCTGTTTTATGTAACAAAGGTTTTGTAGTGGCTTTTCTTTCCATTTCAATTCAAAATGCATCATTGAAAATTCAATTAGATACGGGACATAAGGTTTTTCTAAGTAGCAAAATACTGCAAAGGAATCCAAGGAAAACTCATTTAGCAGGATATTCAAGATCAAAAGAAGCCATCAGATTCATACCATGCAGGACAAAATTAAGAAGGGACCTTGATTTTATCCTATTGCCCAACACATGTAAAGTAGAGGCGACCTTGATTTCGTGCTATTGCCGAATACACGTAAAGTTAAGACGACCTTCATATGGTCTAGGCCCAAAGAAAAATCCAAACTTAATGAGAACACCGTGGCTTCCTAATTTTTATATGCCACAGGAAATTCACCCAATTTAGTTCAAGTCCATGATATGTATAACCATGTTGTATCATATAGGGGTGTCTAAAGGTACAAGTCATTCGGTCTTTTACTCGGGAATGGGAACAAAGGCGGCAAATCCTCTTTTTCTGATAATAGCCCCTTCCTTTCTCCTTGCTTCCAATCTTGCACTCTCATGTATTATCTTCGATGATTTTATACATGCAGATTGGCAATTTGTCTCAAGTGAAAATACACCCAGATTTCTTGAGGTGTTGAACTGTAGGAGAGTTTGCTCGATAATCAGTTCAAACTCTGTCCAAAACTTTTTAATGTTCCTACAGTTTATATTTGAATCTAAATCACTTGACAGGTTGTCCAAGTTAACAACACGAATTTAATATAAAAATAAATTTTAAATTTAAACAATACTAAAAATATTTATGCATCTTAAATTTAGAATCTTGTGGACACTGGACCATATCCAGATTCAACTATTTCATCCCCCCCTTTTTTTAATCTTTTCTGTGCACTATTAAGGAATTAATGGACTCTCAAGAAATGTAGACGTGGTGCCGTGGCAGCCGAGTGAGCCAACTGCTCGGACCCCATCAGTGAATTGATTGGATCTTCCACCCTTTCGACAGCAGTTTATGCACTTGCGAGGGGGTCTCCTCATTAATGGGATAAGCAATAAGCTAGGGCAGACTTGCTCCTATATGTAACTAAATTTGTTTCTATATCCTCTTCAAATCTGCTAATCTATCTTATCTGCACTTCTCTTTTAGGGAGGGCGCTTCTTGGCCAACAAGGACATCACCACGTCTCAGGAAAAGACTAGGGAACCAAAAAAAAGTCCAAATTTCAACAAATCTGTTTTTGGTGCATTTTTGATAATTTATGAATTAGAAGGAGATCCTTTCATTCCTGATCTATCATTTCAGTGCTAGAAAATTGAGCCTTTGATAGTGATGACATCTATTGATAGGAAGATTTCAATGATGATGAGAAAAGTTTAGTTCTTTTTTCATTTGCAAGGGGAACTGATGTCCTATTGAGAGTAATTATGAAACAACCTTTTCAAAGAGGAGAGTGATAGGAAGAGAAAGCTTGAAATTAAATGAAGTAATCATTCATTCATAGCAGAAAAAATGCAATACCCCTGCATTGCCAAATCAGTATAAAGAATAAATGAAAAAAAATGACTTAACCTATGGAAAATCTTGACTAACGGATTGTGCAACGAAAGGTCATCACAGTGATTCTACCTATTAAATTTCCAATAGACCTTCAAGACGGCGCAGTACCTTTCTCCAACCAAAGAGGACTCATTTCATGGTTTATGGTCCTGATTATTCTTTTCTTTTTCAATATAATTGTGCTTATGTGATACTAGGTACCTTAAGTTCTTAACTTACTGAGACATTTGACTGGAGAAGAACCAAACCTAAGACAGGATAATATTGTCACATCTAGCTCCGAAGAAGGACCAAATCCGAGACAGGATAATAATGTCACATCTAGCTCTATGGAGTGTAGGAAGCAATACAACTAGGTATCATAGAACAGTTTTTATTATTTCGAACAAAGAACAAAGTGAAAGATCAGCTGCCAGGTTAGCCTATAGAAATGCTGTGGACCCCTTTTGCTTTAAAATGTGTTTCTAATGTCCTAACATTTGCGGGTTAGATGAAGTACCCATCTCTCAAATGGCATGACATGGGACCAGTTACAGGCAAGTTTTAGTGCACCTAATTTTGTACATGTACCATTAGACTTGTTCAATAAAGGAAAAAGGTAACACATTGCTATTCATCAAGATTTCCTTTAATTATTTATCTTGCATAAGTTTCCCAATTACTATGATGTTTTAGCACAAGTGGTTAAAAGAAAATACAAAAAATCTAACAAAAAACACTTGATGTAGGTTTAAAAAAAAAGATCTAACAATTGCACAACTAAACCATATTCATGAAACTGAAGAGCTAAAGTTTAGAAATATCTGACACATACACCTGTAACTACACTAAAAAGCATATCCCAGTATTCTAGTTGATCATATCCTCTACCCTCACCAATGGACACCGCTCATCATTCGTCAATAATTTTAAAGTAGAATTGGTTATTAAGACAAAAAAAGGTAGTTCATGCAATGGAATCATGCTCTTTCATCCCCTCTCTCAGAACTTAGCAACTTCTTTCCAAACAGAAAAAACACTTGAAACTTTGATTTCTCAAATTCGAAAGTAGTTTAGCACAGATTTCAAGCAGGGCAGGAGATAATCACAAACCTGTAAGGGCTCATTTTCGTCTGTGGAACCAAGCATTTCATTCACCAGAAGTTGACGCTCTTCAGGACCACCAAAAGTTAAGCACTTCTCAACCACATTAGAAGCAAACTTCTGCCGGCTCATTTTTACTATTTGTCCAGCAAGCTTGCTAATAATAGCTGTCCTTTCGTGTGGTTTACCATGCTGCAGGACATGCTATCACAGTGAAAGTACATAACATTAGTGTATATTATTAATTTGTGTAATAAGATTGATAAAGCATTATAAAGTAACAAAACAGGTCTTTGTATTAGAAAAAAAAGACTTATCATGAATAATTAAAATCAATTAGCATGAAATATTCCAATTAAATAAAAAGCTCCACCAGATAACTAATAAGCCAGTTCATTGCGCAAAAATCATGGACAAAATACTCAATTTGACAAAGCCTTTTATTCAAGCTAGACCAAATCTAAGATGAACAGAAATAACCAAACAACAACAACAATGATAAAAGATGATTATCATCTTTGTCATTGTCAAAATAATTATTTATTACCAACAGTAAATCAGGTGGTTTTAAGGCTTTTCTCAACAGGTGTTCAAAATTAAATATCTACCTAAATGGTGCATTTAATTTCTTTGTTGAACATGAACAGACCAACTTGAACAACAAATAAGTGGGTAACGTCTATTGCAGGTCATGCAAAAAATATTTGGTTTTGCCAAGAGTACCTTCTTTGTTCGCTAAGTCCAAACATCCAACAAAATGAAAATCCCAGTTGAGCAGTTGGGAACTTTAGAGACATGAATTGTAGTTTCTCAGTTCAAAAGCATTTTCTTAAAAGTTTTTTTTGCTTTAACAGGGTGGACATGCCGCCATAGTTCACGTAACACAAGGACTATTACCAAAGTTGCAAGTAAAACTGAGAAAAGCATTTTATGCAATGAGTGAAGCATCAAATGGTAATGGAAACACAAAGAATATCAACGCAATTGGGTCACTACGTGGCTTCAAATATGTTTGTGCCCATGTAAGAAAATTCATAACTGTCAGTATCTTACAAGACAAGATAATGCAATGGGTCATATACTCATTTTTTTATGTTGATCTTAACATATTTGACTTAATAACATATTTTCCATTAAATATACCATGCAAACAGACAATACTTTTTGTGAATGTCAACTTCCAATTATCCTAACCTCTGCACACATTTATTTTCTTCTAATTCTTTCAATTTACTTGAAAATTGAAATGCATTTTACAATGCAAGAGAGGAGGCAGCAAGAAGTGGAAAATGCAAAATCTGCACTCAATAAAGTACATGATTTGACAACTATTGGGATAGTAAATTTGCTTATCCTTACATTTCTTTGAAAGAACCAGATCATTTGTCATTCTCAATTTATAAATGAAAGCATTTCTGTATTGGCATTATTTATAATGTTGCCCAAAGAAAGATATACAGCATCTATAAAGATGAACTTATTCCATCACCCAGGGCAGAGCTAGGATTCGTTTCAGGATGGGTGCCTTATTAAACAGGCCGAAAAATATAGTGACAGTGTAGTAATCAAAATTCATATAGTATTTAACAATGCAAAAAATAATTGTTGTTAAAAAAATTCAAAAAATAAAATACAAATATTGATATTAAGGGTCTTTTGGCAAAAAGTTCTATTTTGCATTTTCAATTTCATATGAAGCAAAAACAGTAACTTTATTATTTTATTTTTTTGTGGTGTGATTTATTGCAAAACAAAAACATGTTTGGTAACTAATTTGCTGCACAATGTTTCATAAAAAAATGTTAGAATTATTTTTACAAATGGTATTTATATTATATTGGGTTTTTAAAAAAAATCTCGTTATAATTGCTCAACTGCAATAACAAAAACAAGTGAAGAAAAAAGAAAAACCAAGAAGAAGAAAATAAAAAGAATAAAATATGAGAGAACTTTGAAGGGGAAAAAAAAGGTTTGATTGAATAAAGTGAATGCAAATACTTTGAAGAGAATTCAAAAAAATATGAAGATGAAGAGTAAGAATGGAAAGATAAAACTAGAGATTTTTAGAATATATATATATATATATATATATATATATATATTCAGGGGGCCCATTTTATAAATTTTGTGAATTAAATACCTATATATAAGTTACAATGGTACTAAATGAACAATGAAATCCATCAAAATTTCCGTGACAAAAAATAGGGGATTGCTCAGCCCATCAAGGATGCATTGATAGATGTGCAAAACTAACTCAGAAAGTTGAGTACCTGAATAACATAATTCCCATATTGGTCCTGTGCCAAAGTACAAACAGACTGCATAATTTCATCCATGATAATTTGTTGTGTATTCGGATCATCGCAATGTTCAAGAACCCTCTGTTTACATTTAAAGAAGTTACAAACTCAATGGTATAAGGTAATCACCAAACAGAAGAAGATAAATGGAGGAGAAGGGGGGGGGGGGGGGGGGGGGGTGGGGGCGGGGCACATACACACAAACACACACATAGTTCAAACCTGAATAACACGACAGCCGTAAGGATGGGTGGAAAGTGACACAACTTGCCCAAAGAAGGATGAGATTATAAATTGAATTCGGTCTTGAGGGACACATTCTATACACTTCTGGATGACATGATTACCATTCTGATCACGGACACATTTCATGATTGAACCATCAAGCTCGGCCACCATCTGAGTCTGCTGATCCACATCAACCACCTCCAAGGCCTTGGGGTCAGAATTAGAACAGTAAGTCAGTAACACAATTTATTTAGGAGAAAAGATGCCTTCAGATGATGCAAACTTAAAAAGAATACAAACATGTGAGATCTGTGAGAAGTAAAGAAAACCAAAATATAAAGGTTTGGAGTGCACCTTCTGAATTACTCTGCAACCATACATTTGAAGACTGAGAGGCAAAACATGACCAATAAGCTGGCTGGATAACTCTTTTCTTTGAGTTACTGTACCATGCTCGAAAAACTGCAGATATAAGTACCAACCAGTTAAGTTTTTAGAATCCCAAAAAGCAAGTCTTTTAAGCTTTTAGAATGATCCAGTATGTACTTTTTGTATGACATAATTTCCAAAGACGTCAGTCATCAAGGCATGAGCATGTGGCACAATCTCTGGGAATATCTTGGTCTTCTCTTCCGCTGTGGCAGTTTCTAGTTTCTGCTGAATAAAGCGACTCCCATACTGATCCGTACTACAATTAGAACAGGAGAACTACTGTGAAGGAGCATATGGGTACAATAAAGCAAGAAATACAGAATAATATTCATACCTGAATTCAACTACATGATCAACAATGTCAGGAAGTTCAAAAGACCTGGTTTTATTGTTCTTCAGCTCTTCTAATAAAGATGCCGAAAAACTTTCTTCCACATTAGCACCAAAATCTGAATGCCATGTCTTAGAAGATCCTCCCATTGGACTTCTCAACATTGAATTAAAATGTGAGATCCGCTCATTCTGAAACATAGGACCACCGGATCCAACAGAGGGAAGTGCAGAATTTGCCATAGGGTTTCCTGGATATGTCATTGCAAGACCAAATTCTGGATTCCCATAGATCCCGTTATTTAAAACACCAGATTTACCTGAACGTGGCAACTCATACTGCTTATGTTGAGCAAGCATTGACTCAAGGTATGCCTTCTGCATCCCTTGCAAATCTCCACGAGATGTACCCAAGTAGTTCCTTCCTTGAGAAGGATCAGCTGAGGGAGCCGCAGCATGCATTGCATAATCAGGAGTTATCTGCAAGTACTGAGTATAACGTGGATCCATAATTTGATTCCCACTCCTACTCAAACTTTGCCCATTTCCAGCACCAGTCAAAGTTGATCCTGAAAAGAGAAGGAAAAGTCAAACACATAATCCAGCTAAGGTCCTGTACTTGTAGAAGATTTGCATAGAAGTCATCAAAAAGAAACAATGACCTGTAATTGTATCAAGATGATTATTCATAGCTGCTTTCAGCTTCTGACTAACTGAATATTCACCAGGCACATGGCCAGAAAAGTCCATACTAGGGATTTTGTTAGTTTGATAATGGACGTTAGATCCTTCTAAACCTGCAAATCCTGAAGAATTCGTTTTTGAGTAAGGATTGGTTGATGATGTAGTTCTCTTTGGAAAGTTCGTTTGCCCATCCAAACTAACAAGTCCATTTTTCCTCGGAAAGTCAACATGAGTGGAAGAATTAGCCTGCTTTTCAGCTATGGGATTTCCAATAAGTTGATGCTGAAGACTATGCTTGTGACCATTTGATATATCAAACAAGTGATTAGGCTGTTTATCAAATTCCATTGGGAGCTGAGACTGTACATTTTCATTGCCACGTCGATTTTTTGACAGGTTTAAACCAGACAAAGAAGCTGCCATATCAGCAACCTCAGTCATGCTCGAAGAAATACCATTAAATGAATTCGATCCAGCAATATTCTTCTTCTCAATAGGGCAAATTCTGCTACCCACGGGAGGAAGACCAGGACTGGGAGACCTCCCAACCAGCTGAGGCTCAGGGGTCCTACTCCTGGACAGTGATTGACCCACAGAAGATGCATAAGAATTATAAACTACAGAACCAAGGCTCTGAACTCTAGACATGCCATTGGCAGTTGCTCCACTATGCAAGGCATCTCTGGATTCCACACCGTTACAATATTCTGCTGGATGAGGATTAGACATGCCTGTTGTATCTACCATATCACCAAAAGCATTACGACTTGTGGGCCGTGAGAGATGACCTGATAAGGAAGCATGCTGGTCCAGTCCTTCCTGGGGAAAAAAAAAAAAAAAAGTCACTTTAATCAACAATGTAACAAGATGTCCATGTCTTAAAAGTGTACAAAGATCAATTGTACTAAGTGGTCCAAGTGGATATGCATGTTAAGTTTAAATTATCATTATTTAAATTGTACAAACAGCAACACCAATGTACTTCCATGAATCACAATCACAAACAATGTCAATGATATAAGCCATCTTGCTGGAACATGTGAAGACAACAGAGCGACTTCGGGCTTGCATTTGGGTCTGTGTTCTGTAAATACTGCATATTTGATTCCATCCATAAATCTATTTTCTTCCTCGTTAGTTCTAGTCTCAATAAGAATGATGTGAATGTGTGAGACACAGCAAAATCAACAGAAAAATATTAGAAAAAAAATGAAACCCAGAATTGAAACTGCAAAGAGAAAGTACTAATATACTTTATTCATTCCATTGAAATGAGAAAAAAAGAGAACAAATATATAGTAGTTCCATTCCCAGGGGAAGGGATGGAACCAGGAAAAAAAAAAACTAAGATAAATCCAGTCAAAGATGGAATGACTAATCTACTTCTACGAACATTAAGTGAATTAAAAGATAAAAACAGTAGCACACTAACGCGTGTATATTTTAAAGTAAGAGAAGGGAAATGAGCACTCCAAACCAGTATTAAAGGCATTATAGCATATAGATTAAGCTGGGTAGGTTACAGCATAAAAGCTGATTAGGCCAAATCCTGAAAAAGATAAAAAGAGACAAATTTATATGAAAACCTAAAAAAAAACTCAAATTATTGTCATCGCATGTTTCTTCATTATATATTATAGGGTAAATAGCAAAAAAAAAAACCCAAACTATGGGCCAAAATGCAAATAACCCCCTGAACTAAGCTAGTTGGTTTCAATTAACCCAGTCCGGCCACCGGCAGAATTTTTTTTACAGAATTTTTTATTTTTTATTCCTAATTGGTACTCACACACATTTGTCTCTTCTGAGACTTGAACCCCTGACCTCCCTTCGGGAAGTAAGAGGCTGATACCGCTAGGCCACTGGCCCGTTGGTTTTTTTTTTTTACACTTAATTCGTGCGTGCATGCCACACTTTAACTAAATGACCATGTAGCCATAATGATACAAAAATACCATATTGCCCCTTTATTCATCCCCTCTCAGCAACGATCTCAACCCTCTCTCTAGCAAGCATGTGTTATATAAAATTATAAATACATATATATGTATATATATATATATTAGCCCAGAGCTGCCAATCGAAGAGATTCGCACAAAAACAGATCTGGGATCTGACCCGTGAACCCATTTTGCTGTATCCACACCTGAGAGATGGGTCATCGCCGACAACACATCGATCGTCCCCGACAAGCCCATCACCTGATTGTTCAGCCATAGGTTCTGAATCTCCGATGACCCAAAAGTCGCCAGCAACGGACCGGTCGGATTGTTGTAAGACAGTCAGAAGTTCAGAAAATTGGGGAAGTTATTGACAAAGTATGGTATCACCGTTGTCCAAGGCCACCGTGGTCATCAACATGTACAACTTGCCTGTCCGGTCCTTGACTCATAACCACCGATAGGGAATTTGAATTCACCGGCAAGGACTTTGCCGCCACTGTCGATGATGGTTTTAATCGGGCAGTGGAGGATGAGGTGGCGGTGGGGGTTACGAAGGGGTCCAGTAAAGGTAGAGGAGGGGTTTGGTGGCAGTGAGGATGGTGGTGGTGGTGGTGGTGGTGGTGGTGGTGGGTGGAGATCCAGGGCGGTGATGGTGCCAAGAATGAGGAGGGAGGTGATGAATAGAGCTACGTTAGGGTTTCGGTGATGGTCTTGAAACCAAATCTGGGGTAGCGATTGAAACGGGATTGGATGTTGGTGTGGCATTGGAAGCGAGCATAGTTGTAGTTGGAGACGAGCATGGTGACGTGGAGGCCGGAAAGCTCAGCGAGTTTGAGCATGGAGTTTCATCACTACAGGGAAGATGAGCACATGAGAAGGGAGTGACGTTGATTGGGTTATCTACTGACCTCTAAATTGTGGCTTTAGCCTTTTGACAGTGAAACACGGTATCTGGATAGCGTTACAAGTGATTTCATCTCCGGCAATGGCATGTGGGATATAGTTAAGGTGATTCACATGTTTTACACATAGGGTTGTTGATAAGGTTGAAAGCTGAGGTGTCAATTTCTTATTGGATCTTCATATTACAATACGCCATGTCATTTAGTAAGATTTACACAAAAGAAATAACAATGAAAAGATGTCGTTTTGTTGGTATTCATGTCATTTAACAGTTCCGGTGATGGAGTTGACCGGATAAGTCACTGTTGTCCTTAAATGCAACAAATCAATAGTTCAAGGGGGTTTCTTGTAGTTCAGGGGGTTATTTGCAAAACGCCAATAGTTGAGGGGGGTTTATTGCTCTTTACCCTATATAATATTTCAATTATTTATGAAAAGAAACACATAAATATTGAGCTATATATGTGGATAGAACTGTAAAAATTTTTGCAAACTTAGTTTTCTATGACATAACTTCTCTGCACGGTATAACTTGTATTTCAAACCAAAACCAATACTGTATGCAGCAGGGCCCGTACCTTGGAACTTGTATTCCAAACAAAACTTTAGGAATTGGAACCAAGTTGAAAAAGTCAAATAGCTCAAACCTGTGATATTAAATTACATATATATGTAAAAAAAAAGTGATGCAAATCTTGCAGATTCAATATCCTTTCTACACAAATATGCATATAACTAAAATGCCGTTTCGGACATGTTCCGGGTACCAAAACTTTGGAACATAGTAGATATACATCCTAAACACTCCCCAACATAAACCTTATGTAGCACATAATATCTTAACAGGAGTCATGTCAGAAAACCTAGAAATTAAGATTTCACACATCCCAAGTGCCCAACATTGTATCTTTGAGGAAAATTGACATTATACACATTCCATCACAAGTCAACTATGTAGTGGACACTTTTTAATATGGGACAATAATATAATTGTAATGGCAAAAATATTATAGGCCGGTAGTAGTATATAACTATATATAAAATAAAACTCTTTATGAGATTTGTATAGTTTCATCCTTCAAATTATGTAATTCTTAGTATAGGAATTAGAAAAGTAATCAAAATCCTATAGTCTGTCATATGTAGAGTCGTAGAGATGTGTATCCGTCGAGTGCAAGAAAGGGTTTAGTGCCTTGAGGGTTCCTAGGATTGACTAAGAATCTTAGAAAATGCAAGATCCTCCATGAATGCTCCAGAAGAGAAAGAAGAAAAGAACTCAAAAAAGAATGGCTGCTTAATCAGCATAGTTGTTAAAATCTTACGATTCTACAATCCCAAATTGCCAAACCGATCCCGTTCCCATCTAAAATCTTTGGGAAGTAGAATCTATAGAATCAGAAGTACGATCATAGAATCGTATGAGATCTTATGATTCTACTATATTGTGTTATTTGTTCTTCTGAATTTATTTGGGCCTACAATTAGTTTTGGACTAATAAATTTAATCATTTTAAATATAAAGTCCAACTCTTTAGCCTAATTATATTAAAAAATTAAAGTAAAGAATCTTAGTATAACCTATAGAATCGGAAGTAGGATCATAGAATCTCACATAATCTTACGATTCTACCGATTCTACTAAATTGTGTTATTTTGTTCTTCTGAATTTATTTGGGCCTACAATTAGTTTTGGACTATTAAATTTAATCATTGTAAATATAAAGTCCAACTCTTTAGCCTAATTATATTAAAAAATTAAAGTTAAGAAACAAAAACCAAAGAATCGAATGTCGCATGTAGAGACGATCAAACTCTGAATTTCAAAGGTATGGTCTAAAATTTCAAAAATTTCCTTTATCTTTTTTATTCTTCTTAATTTATCTTTTCTTTCTTTTTCAGTGCAAGGAACATAAAGAATTTTATTTTTCCACCTATTATTCTTTGTCAATTCTGAAACAAATATAAAGAAAGACTTCATTTTTTCTGTTGTTCTTTGTGTCTCTGTTTTGTTCCCTTTTTTTAACCAAAAAGTAAACTTTTCAAGTAAATTGCTCGGACAATTAGGCAACCAAATTGTACTTTTCTCTATGTGCTAGGCTTGGCTTTAATTTCTTCTATTAGATTTTGCTTAATTGTTATGCTAATTTTTTTTTTTTTTTGGTTGAAATCAAGATATTAATTTTAAGTGTTTGTCACGTGTCTTAGTATCTTTTAACGTTAGTTGATTTTGCTAGAATGTCTCATTTGGTTATTTAGCCTTATTCTCTCCTTATATCGAAAATATTTGATTTAGAAAGTTAGTTTGAATTACTTTTCTAATAGTTTTATAGAATCTTCCCATTCTCGATCCTATCCTACGATTCTGATCCTATGGACCCCTCAATGATCCTACTTAGAATCCCGATTCTAACAAGCTCGTTTATCGGTAGAAGACAAGCCAAGTTCCAATGGAATTCGTCTTCGGAGTCACCACCTAACGGTTTTGGTGAAGAAGCTTTCTTTCTTTGTCCTGCCTGGGTGTGACTAAAAGGGATACCTTACCAATTTGCTCACTGCTTGCTTGCCTTGACCAACCATCAAATCAAAATGAGGGCTCCGGTAGCCTTGTCCACACCTTGTCTGTATATGTAAAGACAAGTCTAGAAAAATCACATAACCTTTCGCCACAAGCTTACCTCCAATCCATCCTTTTCGTCTTATTTTTCCAATGTTAACTTTTCAACACCTTAATCAGAAAAAGATACCAAACACATCACATTGATAGATAAGAAACCAAGGTATTACAACATTCCAAGGTATTTCCTAGGAACTGCCTGAGGCATGGCTGTTATTAAACATCTGGAGTCCTTATAATACAACTTTTAGCAATTTCCACATTAATGACTAAATCAACTCCACGCAACAAAACCTTACTCCAACTACGTAAAGACATCTATATGAGCCATTTTTTTCCTAAGTAACTCTAAATAAGTCCAAGTCCAAGTCCAAGGTTATTGCCATAGAATTTTAGCTTTAAATAAGATCAATTCAACTATATAACCAATGGTAGGAGATTTTCATCAATTTATAAAATTTACTTTATGATTTTATTGCTTTTTAATATAAGTTTAGCATTCAAAGATATATGGTTCTGATTAAGTTCAATTCTCCCTTTTGTCACAAGATTTCTTCTTTTTAAATGACAGAACAGACTTCTTCTCCCATCACTTGACCTAAAGTGGATTCATAAACTCATCTTCATCACTTCACATCCAAAATTTCAAACCTCAAATCCTAAGATCATTCAGTTTAATCTCGTCATTTATCCATCACATTATAAAGCTTTGTGGTTGAATTTATTTTGTTGGCAACCTATATAACTTTCACACATCTTATTATTATTGTTCATTATGGATGGATTTCGGAAGTTGTTTTCATCAAATAAACCTGCTGGCAAGAGCATGGGCAAAGTGATGGGCAAAGTGATGAAAAGGAACACACCATGCTGCACACCTACTAGAACGAGAGAGAGAGATCCAATGAAGATATCACCAAAATGAATCTGCTTGACTAAATAAGCTATAGCGTCAAAGTGATGTACTAGGAGGGAAAAAATTAGGTGGACAAAAGAAAAGCAAACACAAATGAATCAACAACTTTGATGGTCATGTAAATCATGAATAATTTCTATCCCCACCTGGACCCAAGTTTAGGGTGCAATATATTATTTACAAGTCACAATAAAGCATTCTTTTCAATTGAATAATCCGACAATAAACCTATTCATTATTAGTCATACCACTAAACACGGACTGGTGTCAACCGTCAAGAAGCATTACAACTCGTACAAGAAGTTAAATAAACTATAAGTCCTGCCTTACCCAACAGGACTTCTAAAAGTAAATCACAAAATAAAACCTACCATTCTAATTCTAGCAACAATAAAAAGAAAGAAAAAAAAAAAAAAAATTATATCCAACAACCTAATATAGAAAACTACAGATATATAGCAAAGTACAGGCTAGATCAATCACCTGAAGAATATCCGCAAAACTCTTCCTCCTCATACCCAGACCAGCACCTGAGAGACCACTCAAACCATCAGAGCCTCTGTTTAGCCACTCAACGGAGGTTTGCCGTGAGACATTCGTCGCATTAATCTTCCTCAATTCCATCAGCTCATCCTCCGCTTTCTGTACAGATAACCCAGGCTGCATTGAGAACAAAGATGAACTATCAACATCATCAACCGGTTTCTTCTTCTTCCAGTCCCCAATTCCACCAAATGATGAACCCCCAGTTCGAAACCTTTCAGCAACCCGCCAATCTTCTTTTGACAGTAGAGGTGGAGGTAGTCTCGGATTGAGATTGACATTCGAATAGTAATAAGATAGATAAGCAGGATGCGACCGAATCTCATCTTCAGATAAATTCCCATTTATATTGCTACTCTCTTCACCAATCTGAGCAAAATTTGGGTTCCTGAACAAACTGCCCACAGCAGTCAATGACCCCTCCACCGTAGGCGGAGCACTACCACTCCTGTAAATATCCAGATCCCTCTCTCGATCAACAACATTTCTATTAAACCGCTCCCTTAGCATTGATTCAAGCTCACTCTCCAAACTCTCTTCTAAATTGCCATTCATTCTTCTCATAACGCCATCATCTAGGTCTGACCGTAAATTCACACCAGACAACATATCCATCTTCCCGGTCCCGGTAACCATCTCAAAAAACCCTAATTTACCAAAATGGAAACTACCAAATCAAAACCACCAGAATTTAATTTCAACACATATACATGATTAATACATTAAAGATCTCAAAACAAAACCCTATAAATCATTTCAAGTACACACCTTTACGTGAATATACGCATCAATATGAACAAAGTGCGCAGTTTATCATTCTAAAAAAAAATCAACGAAGAAAAAAATTAATAAGTCAGAAATATATATATATATATATATGAGACACGAAATCTAAACATATATGAATTTGTATATATTTGATCAAATTACAAATAATTGAAGCGAGAATTACAGAGAATGAAACAGTTCAGGATCGTTGGACTTACGAAGATTGAACAATTAGTCACGTGATTTTTGTGCTGAGAAATTCAAGTCGCGAACGGCCTATAGATTTATGATCGAAAATCTAGCAACGATTTGGAACAATTCGAAGGGTAGATTGCGTTGAAGGAAAATACAGAACCGAACAAGATGGAAATTTTTCGAAACGGTCTCGTCAGAGAGTTTTGAGAGAGAGAGAGAATTTTTTTTAGAGAGAGAAAGAGAGGGAGGGGGCAAAAAAGGAGCAACTGTTACTGGGCCGTGTGGGGGGGGGGTATAATGAATGACGGTGAGGAGTTATTGGACGCTTGATTAAAAATGGACGGTGGATGATTCGGTGATGAGGGTTTACGTGCATGGGGGCACGACGGCAACGTAGTCGGCACCTAGTTCCTACGTTAACATGTTGTGAATGGTTCCATATACGCACACATATATGTGGGGAAGAGAGAGCGAGAAGGACGGTTTTTTTTTGTTTTTTTCGAAGACAAGGAAAATAATAGTATTTTTGGGAAGTTTTTTTTTTCTTTTTTTAATTTAAGTATTGGAATTTATTTTTATTATTTATTTTTAAATAATATGAGAATTAGACGGCTCGTAGATTTGATTTGGTTCTCTCTCTAAAAAATTGGTGGGCTTAATCTTTATCCTTTTTCTCTTTGGATAGTTACAGAAAAGTTTATTTTGTAAACTTATTGTGATCAAACCAAATTAGGATCCTCTCATGGACGGTCTAATAGATCCGAGGACCGAGGATAGAGATCACTTTTATCGTGTGGACCCATCTCTCTCTCTCCTTATTGTTAAAAGGGGCTTGGCAATTTAAATCGGATGCAAATGCAATTATTACCTATGCAATTATTACCTAACAATTTAAATTTTTATTTCAAGAGAAAGAGTTCTCGTTACATTAGTATCAAAGTCAAATTTAATATTTGATCTAATATCAAACAAAAAAGTCCACTCGGGTAGAGTATAATCCTAATGAAGCCGTCGCAAGTTCGGTTGGATAAGAATGTTTAATGAGACTATTGGGATTTAACATTTTGGATAAGATGCTAAACACCTGATAAGTTGCCTTGTCATAACTACTCATTGGAAAAAGTATGAGTTCACTGCAAATTCGAGCAAAAAAATATGTTGGGCAATCACCTGGCGTGTTACAATTGGATCTATTAACAACTAAATTTATTTATTTTTTAGTAATATATCCTACTATTTTGTTCATCTGATTTATAGACCTATAAAATTGCACTATTGCCTCAACTGAAATTATTTTAAAAATTACATTAGTGCCCACCTCACACAATTTCTTTGGTCCGTCCCTGATCATAACTACACATGAAAGAATGTCTGAGTTTGTTAAAACCTCGTATAATATATATATTTTTTAAAAAGTTAATAATAAACATTTTAAGTTACTCATTTAAGGTTAATTTGTTGCAATTGAGTGAATATATATATATATATATATATATATATATATATATATATATATTGGCAATGACATATTAATAGAGTTTTATGAATGGACGACGGACTCTCAAGCACCTTAAAATGAGAATACATTAGAAAACAAAAACAAAAAGAATACATCCGCCACTATCGATATATACACACACTTAGACCAACCGATTCAAGTATGCCTTACAACTTATATATCATTTTCTAAGTTTGATAGTGACAATTTTAGGTTATTTAGTCCAAGGTTAGGTTTGTTATTGCCTTGTTTGTTGTGCTGCCATTACAATAAGTGCACAATAAGCTAATGTAAGTCAATTGAAAATGGGATGTAATTTTGATGGACAAACTAAAATCGAATCCAATGTATGAATATTCTTGAACAACTTTTTTTTGTTACATGGACTAGGTTTAGATTGGAAATTTACGACCCCACCTTAAATTTGAAATGCTTTTATAAGTATTATATTAAAAATACTAATAACATTAATTTAGTCCTATCCATTGTGCTCAACTTGAGTAATTCAACTTTAGGTTAAAAAAGAAAAAAAAAAGAGCAATTCAATTTTAACAAAAAAAAAATAAAAAATAAGGCAAAATAATGATGATGATTATTATTATTATTTAATATACTTTCCGAGATTATTGGTAGAACATTGTTGATGAATATTGATGGCTAAGTGTTACAAGGGGTACTTATCCTATATCGATTTAGATGGAAAGCGAAATGGGTAGAAATGGGTGGATATGCAGTACTACCGAATAGTTTAAGTTTTTTAGTAAATGGATAAACACCCATCTGTTATAGTTGGTATCAGAGTTAGACCTTATCCTTGATTCGGTGTCATGCCAAGCTTCCGGTCCGGAGGCATCAGGATGAGCCCACCTGGGTAGACAAGGTAACCCAACTGAAAAAAAGCATTGCGAGTTTGGGCGGGGTAGGATGATACAAGACTTGTCCCATATCAGATCCAGATGAAAAACGAAATAGGTATAAATGGACAGGTATGCAACATTACATAATAACTTAAATTTTTAAATAAATAGGCAAACGCCTACCAGTTATGTCAAGAACATACACATACCCAACAAAACATAACATGACCATTATTATTATTATTGTAATGACAATAATAAACTCCTATAATGCATTAAGGAGGCTCGAACTCTCTACCTTATACGTTGAAAGAGAATTTATTCAAATACGTATAATTTAAACTTATATTGATTTTAGAAAAATAAATTAAGATGGAACTTGTATTGAAAATTGTTTTCCTCCATTATTTAGAATGACCCTCAAACGGGTTATCACAACAAAATTGCATGACACCTAGGACATCACAACAAATCATTGCCACTTTGACCTCATTAGTTGTGCACATGTTTTCATTCTTTCTTATTGCACTTACTTTGGAGCACTTGGTGTAAACATTTTTCACGTGCTGGTTGGTGAGAAGTGATGGAAAAAAGAATATATCAATATAATGTAAGTATCATAGTTTGTGCTTGGTTGTTGACTTTTTGGTTCTTTTTCGAGAAATGATTATTAGTTTGTGCTTGGTTGTTGAGTTGTTTATATTTCAAGAAAGTGATGAAAAGTTAAAATTGGAATTACATGGCCCGATCATTAAGGGCCTGTTAGACTTGATGATTTAATTGTTTCATTGTCTTCTTCTACTATTTATTTTCCAAACAAAGAATTAAAATTGGATCAGGATATAAGATGCTTGACTAATAATATATTCTAGGTCAAAACTAAGATATTGAGACCTTTTTGTCACCTATCAATTTTGACTTGCGTCTTGAGATCACACACTATAAACATTCATTATCTAGCAATGAGATATTCTGAGGCCAAAAACCTATGTAGAGGAATTTATTTGGTTTCTTTTTGAAAAAAAAAAAAAAAAAAATTTCTTCATTTTTTTTTTTTATATATTAAAAAATATTAATGGTAAGTCTATGCATTCAAAAAATTATTACATGATTCCGAACCAATCATTAATTGACATACGAACAAATGTGTCAATTTTGTGATATGCAAATAAATGTGTCAACTTTGCTCAGAAGTTATTATATGGTCCCGGACCAATCACCATTCGACACATAAGTAATTATATCGAAAATGTATAAACTTTAATCAAATTTTTTCATACATGTCCAATATTGATTGATCGGTACCAGTATCCCGGAATTGTATCCAAAATGTATAAACTTTTATCAAATTTTTGCATGTCCGATATTGGTTGATCGGACCAGTGTCCCGGGATTATCTAACAACTCTGGACCATATAAAAATTTCTCCAACTGCTGATATGGTACCATATAATAATCTTTCCACTGCATCTTTAAAGCTGCCACTCCAATAACCAGCAGTAGATTATTTCAGTTGTTTCAGCTCTTTGGAGGTGTTATTTATGGTACAATGCGCACAAAAGCGTCACAAGTTCACAACACGCCCTTATAAATATGTAAATAAATAAAGTTTTACAGAATTTGTGTAAACAACAACTGCCAAATTTTTATTTTCTATGCATTATTATCTATCATGTTCAACTTCTAGAGAAAAAAATTACAGAATAGATTTTCAATTTATTTCTGACAGTAACAAAAATTACATGGTATACTCATTTTCAATCATTTCGCGGACCTCATTAACAACCAAATACGCTTTGTGGCCTCCGATCACCTCCGCCTGCTTTTTGCTGTCCTTCCACAGCTGCGACAAAGTTTTTAGTTATTTATAAGAGCGGAACATAAATGCTCAGTTCATCGTATATAAGCAAATGAATTTGAATTTACCTGTATGGTTGGCATTTTCTGCAGAGATTTTGAAGCGTCCATATCGATATACATGAAAAGGTACAACAAAGTGTCAATCATCAATCCTGCAAATTTATAAAGAGCCATGGGATCAAGAGCAGATCCAGCCTTTTTAAATGGGGTGAGCTAATTTTGGACTGGGCTAACTTTGGGCTGGGCTATCATTACTATTTTTTTTTTCTTTTGGGCTGGGCTTAAAGTAGTATGGTAAAAAAAAAATTTTTTTTTTTGGGGTGGGCTGAAGCCCAGCTTCGCCCACCCTTGGATCCGCCCTTGCATGGGATTTAATTAAATCGAATGGCTCCCGTGGCTCTATAGTTAAAAATGGATCTATGGTTAAAAATGGAAACGTCCATCGTGTTCATGGTTGCAACTATCTCATTTTTATGCATCAGTAATCATGAAAAGAGTTGGATAATCTTCAATTTCAAGCAACATCGGTACCATGTAAAAGATGTTGGTTCTATCACATTAAGAATGTTAAGTTGTTTCACTAATTTGGGAGACGGATATCCTGCAAAAATATTAAGAGACCACTGAGCTAGACAAGGAATATAATTCTCTCTTAGGTCAACAAACCACTAAAAGCCTGGTTATTTAACTAATGGTAAATTAGTAATTACACTTCCTAGAAGGAAAGGATCAAATAATTGCTACTACTTCCGTGACCATAATTTCTTATGGATCATAAAATTCAATTTAATTTCAATAGCTGCCTCTTGGACTCTGATTATTTTTAATATGAAGGAGGTAGAGAAAGGAAACGATAGTATTAGTTAGGAGGGAAAAGAAAAGGTAAGTGTGGACACTCTTATTTGGATAACTAGGTAACGAATAGGGAAAAATAAAAACATAGTGGTAACCCCCACATCTAATTTTGGAAAGAGAATGGAGAGAAAAGAAGGAAAGTTTTATTATGTGAGTAGGCTCGTAAAACAACACCCATTTGTAAAAAAAAAAAAAGGGGATAATGAGTAATCACTAACTCCCTCATCCTTCCTTCTATTTCCTCCACTTTTGGAAGGGGAAAAAAAAAATGCACTTGAGGATTAAGAATTTCTCTGATTTCCTTTCCTTTCTTTTCCTTTCAACTATTTAAATCCAAATACAATGTTAGCTTGTGTTTTGAAAGGAGTTACTAGGTTCGTTCCCATCAGTTTACAGTTCCTTGCAGAGAGTAAGTAAATACTCTATTGAGTTTAAAGAGAGTTCATATTAAGTTAGATAGTGTTGCATGACTAACATTTCATTTTGATTCCTAAGATCAGGTTTAGAACTTTATTTATATTCGGTCTTGGATCAGATTTAGATGGCAGGCCTAATTTAGAGTAGATTTTATTAGTGGCAGCTGACATGTAAAAATAAAATGCTGTCTAAAAGCAATGAATATGCCTACATCACTTACTACAGAATATGTGACTAAAACTGTAAATCGTGCCAGAATACAAGAGTCATAATCAAGGAACAAAGAGGATTTTTGAATCTAAGCAAAGCCAAAAATGAGCAAATGTCAAGTAAAGATTTTAAAGAGTAATCACGCAGTAACTTAACACAACAATGTCCAAGTCACAATCTAGAAGAAACAAGCCACATCAATGTAATTCTCATCCCGGTAAATTTGACTTGCGAACAAGTACATTTTAACCAAGTATACGGTGCTTCAATTGAAAGAGGATTATATAGATTTTGTTTGAGATCATAAATGGCCACAAATCCACAATCCAAAACCCAGTTTTAGTACAGAACTGATCATCATTGCTTGGATATGTTATTATTTATATGCTTCCATTGTTAACACAAAAACTATTGCTTAACTATCACAGTACAAACTAGGATAAATGAATTCAAGTTTGTGAGTACTGCGAAATGATGTGATAAGGGAAATATCTATGACATGTAAAAGAGTCTATAGCATTACAAGAGACTTACAGTGATTCCTGCACGAACAACAAGCTTGTGTGGAACAGCGTTGACATCAATACAGTAAAATCGTATTCTGCAGCAGGACATAGAAAAGTTCCTCAATTATGGACCACCAAATCAGATTAAAAGTATGACAGCATAGAAACAGTCAAAAGTATATATACCTGCACACACAAGCAAAAACATGTGCAGTGTGTAGCATGCCCCCACCCCAACTCACCCCTAGATTTCTTCGAGATTGTGACATACATTAACAATCCAGAAAGTGGGAGCACTAAATGACATGCAAAATGCCACTACAAGAACATAGAAAAGGTGAAACAAAATCTATGAATTGTATGGGGATCTGATTGTGAACTCAAAAGAAGTAGCATATAAGAAACTTTGTCAAACTATATATGCAAGCCTTAAGCATCTTTCCAGAAGTAAATGTTGCATGACAGTACAATGACTAATTGTGATGAAAATTTCAGATTTGGTATTTAAGATGAATAATTTAATTTCTCCTCTACGTTGCCGTGTGCAGAACCATAAAATTTGTTAGATGGATTCAATTAAGGTAAGGTTCATTGCTTACTGCAATGATGAAAGTTTGAACTGACAAGAGTGAGGACACAGGTTTACGTCTGAAAGTAATGAATTTTTGCAAAATAATGCTAAAAGGATATGTCTCTCTCTAGTCCTCACTCCTAGCACCTTGCATAGGCAAGACATGCAGTGGGTGGTACCTCTAGATGAATCCAACTAAGTTCATTATTCAATGTTTTTGCATTTAAAATGGATGGAAGGCTATATAAGCAAAGGACAGACTACTCTTGTCATTTTAGCATTTGGAATATAACTGACTATAGGCAATAGTATACTTCAAATCTCTGTTTTAAAACTTAATATTTATTACACAAAGCCAAGTCTACGATAGTCAGATGGTTAACAAAGCAGGTATGGTAGTCTTGAGAAATGCTTAATTTGTGAAATACTTAAACCACTTATATTTTCCAAAATTATTTGATAACCCTATTGGGGTGTCTGGGGGATGAGGGATCACAAGAAGGAAATAAGCATTGCAGCCCACAGCCTTGGTATATGACAATGGATTTGTAAATTGTCCAAAGGGAATACTTCAGAATCAGAAAAAGGGCTTTCTAGTCTAATATTTTTTAGACCATACAAATCAAATGTATTCTGAAAGATTATTCTAACCCTAATAACATAACCAATGAGTTACACAACCATGGGAGGCCTATGCCTCTATGCTTGCCTTGAGACATGGCACAAAGGAACAAATAAAGGCTTCCACTCAGACCACAATTTTGATGTCTACATATCATATATTAGGCCCAACTTATAGTAGAGTAATGTCTTGCAGATTAGCTGAACACACGTTCTACCCAAAGAGTGAAACCTTTGAGAATCTTCTCTCATTTTAGCAATTTCTTCCTTTTTTCGTTAAAGCATCACTGTTTCCCTACACATATTTTTTATTTTTCAGAAGTCTTTCAAAGACAAGAATTATGTTACGAACTCCACATAAATGAAAATATTTAAGGCCATCAACATTGTTCATGGTTTCATTTTTTATAACTAAAGCAATTAAGCGCGTTGGAAATTTTATGATGGACGAATTATTCAGATTATATATGCTTGTATATCTGTCATCAATTGTAATTTACGTTTGTGGCTGACACCACACACTATCACTTTTGTAAAAATGAATGCAGTATTGAAATAGACATATAATTTAATGAAATTCCCCAATTTTTACCAAACATCATTGTTTAAACGGTGGTTCTGTTTTATACATCATGATCTTGAAAAATAAGAGAAAATAGCAATGCATTGCATGCCTCTGGATTACCCAAATTCTAAATTTTTGATGAGTAAACCAGAAGTTGAATATTTGAAGAGTGTATGATATCAAAAGGATGAGAAATGACTTCAGAAATCCATATTGAGAAATAATCAGATATATCACTTCTGTAGCTTTGTCAACGATTGATAAGGCTATAATTAAAGTTGTGGGGTGGAGAGCTCTCAAAAGTAACTTATTATTAGCTTTGCGAAAAAGGAATTGGGAGAATACAGTCCCTTTTTTCCCCTACCCCATGGGAACCTACAACATACAAGCACGGGGAAAAGCAAATCCCACAAGCTAGGACATTCACTGATGTATGCATGATGTATGCCATCTAATGTTTGGGAGTATGTCCAGCAATGTGAACCTTAAAGGCCTATAAATTAGAAAGTCATGTAGAGTTTTGTAGCTAATGCAACACATCAAGAAGATGGCAGAGAATATGAATTTGCAAAAATAAAGAATCCATGCAATAGCTAATAATACACTAGAACTCTTCAAATCAAATATTGAAGCCCAAAAATAAGCACCATTTACTAGCAAAATTCCATGAACTAGCAAAATTCCATGAACCAAACTTACGCAATCATAAGCAGTTCTAGAAATTCCTACCAAATGGTAAATCTAACCTGGGATAGTAATCTGCTGCCAACTTTTCTAACTTTGGTTTCAAATATATACATTTCCTGCACCAGCTTGCCATCCTACAAATACAAAATGCTTTACATGACAATCAACTCAGAGTAAGCTTCATTCACAAAAATAAAATTTATTGGGGAAATTTTTTGAAAGAGCGTAAACATATTATACACAAGCGTACATACACATATTAATGAACGTATACATGCATGAATACGAACAAGCAAACATGTATTTATATGTATTAATATATCAAGAATTAACAATTTAGGAATCCGGATCCCCTCATGTGGGGTACTACATCGTAGCGCAACAGTCTCATGTCGAATTGCAACACCACGTAATGTAGTTGTTACATAAGCAATGTGAATTGTTGCAAGGTACAGGAGACGATTTGGGTTGAAGAACTTAGAACCCAATTGATGAGATATTCTGAAATATTAATAAAGGGAAAAGAAAAAGAAAAAAACCAAAGCTAAAGAAACCCCATATTACAGTATTGAAATATCAATTCAAAATTGAACATAAACACCATCAAAACCCTACCTTGAATTAGCAAAACCCAACACCCAGTTGCTAAAACTGAAAAGTTGACCCAAATTCTCACCAAATTGAACAAAATCTGAGAGAACCCAACACTTGTATACGTACCAAACAATTACAAGCGATTCTTCGAGCTGCTGTGCCTCGGCGATGACCCGATCAAACTGGCTCTCGCTCGAAATAAGCTCGAGCTCGATCGAAACCGGAGAAGAATCGAGGTCTTGAACAGGCCCTTCTTCGCTGTAATTCGTTAATGCTCTTAAATTCCCTCCAATTACATGAATATTTTTGGTAAAAACTATCGAATTCTTCACCGAATCGGATTTTCTCAGTGCTGATTTTGAAAAATACTGAGAAACCCCAAGATCATATAAATGAAACTGTGATTCTCTTCGTTGTGGAGATCTAAAACACGGGGAAATTCGTATAACGTTAGACATATACATTTACAATTATATATATATATATATAATACTCTATTTGTGTATGTATGTGTGTATATAAAAGCGATTTATTGGAGGGTTCATATGTTTGTATAAACCCTGTGACTGTGAGGGTTTTAAAGTCTAAACCTTTGACGGGGAGAGTAATGAAATGGGTGAATCGTGGACGTCCGGCGCACGTTAGTTGCGATAAGTTGTTTGGGTGTTGGGTCCCATGTTTCTGGATAGGCAGACGTCAGAGAGCCAATGGAATGGATTGTTGTTGGCCGTCTGATTGATGGACTTCTATTTCATATACCCAATGAAATTTTGTGATAAACTATTTGATTTATTATTATTATTATTATTATTTTAATTACTAAACATGTCATTTCTTGATGAAATTTGATTTTGGTGGATAAATTAGGTGAGCAAATCATTGTGAACATGGTTTTGCAAATCTTTAAATATTCGTCTGAGTTGGGATATCAGAATTTTGTTTCAATAATATTATGACACTAAAAGAAGTTCGCTTCAGAATTCACCAATGAGTAGTATACTCACACGAAATATGTGACTTGTTTAATCGAATGTTACGTACAATACAAATAAATGGATGACTTCAATCTCTTATTTGTTTCATAGATGACCCAATTTCTTATTTGTTGCATGAATGATCAATTAAATGTAATAAGTGTAGAAATTTACTGCAAGTAGTTGGTGTAAAAATCGTTTTCCTTCACCTATTGTCCCTAGGGATGGTCAAAGTTGACACAAGACGAACATCACATGAGTTAAACAAAATTTGGTTGACGTTAAATGAGTTCGGGTCATAAACGGATCGATACGATTAACCCGTTTAGTTAATCGTGTCGTGTTTGAGTTGAGAGGTTCAACCCGTTTATACACATTTAACTATATATGTCATAAATAAATTTTTATTTAAGTTTTAAAATTACAATATAAACTTGTGTCTTATAATTTAATCTTTTGTAAACTAGAAACTAGTTAGTAATTTGGTTGATTAAAACTTATATTTTTTTTAGTATTTATTATTTTATTGAGTATTATTAATAATTTAAATAATATATATATATATATATATATATATATTCTTTGTGAAAATAGGTCATTAAACAGGTTACACGTGTAACTCGTTTAATAAATAGATTGGTTTGGTGTTAGAGAGTTCCTGACACGATTATTAAACAGGTCGTGTTCGGGTTAAACTGTTTAGTATAATAACCTTAAATTGATACGACACGATTATGACTTACGAATACGAATTGTCAACTTTAATTGTTTCCATTGTTAATCATGACATTGAACTTCCGCTATAAATTAATTAAAAATTGATTAAAGTTGACTAAACTTGAAATAAGTTTGTAAAATAAGCACGTCATTTATTTGTAAAAAAAGGATGTCATTTGTTATTAATGTTATGATTGGTTAGAGGGAATGATTAAGGAGAGGGATGGACGAGAGAATGGATTCAAATCATTACTTAGTACGTCATATAAGGACTATACGGTTCGTCTCGACACCAAAAATTCGTCCTACCATCCAAGTGTGCTACACCTATGGGGACACATTGAATCCATCTTGCTAAAATTTAATGTTATATTTTAGGTAGAAGGAAGGATTGACGAAGGATGGAAGCCATGGGAGATAGAAGAAACTCCCCTTGTTTGGTTGCAAGGAAAGGAAGAGAAGGCAGAGAGGGAGGGGGCTTCATCCCTTCTAACCCATGTGTTTGGAAAGTATTTTATTTGTCCAGAATTGGACAGAAGAGAGGAGCGAAAGAAAGAAATGTTTACCTTATAAATATGTAATACCAATTTTAACCTTTAATTACTTACAAAATCACTATTTAAATCCTTCAAAAATTCCTCGCACATCTAATAAATCTCGTTTTGATCAAATAATTGAATCTGTCCACATTATAATATCACTACTCTCCCAAACATCGTTCTTGGTCAATGTTTATGAAGTCTTGTACTATTAGTCACTTTTGGCACATGAACACTATTATTTAGATTCGCCCCTTGATCCATCTTCAATTGAAAAGACGGCAGCTATCGCAGAAAAATTGGCCTCTTTGCATGGTCAACCCCAGCTAATTTTGTTCTCGAAAAAAATAAAATAAAATAAGTTTTATAAGAAAACATAAGGGCTGTATTGTTAGGTGTAATTTTCTTAATCGGTAAGTTTTTTTTTAGAAGGTGCCCATATCATCAAATCAATTGAATAATTTAATGGAAGCAAAATTTAGTGTGATTTGAAAAACATTAAAGTCGAGTTAAACAATTGCAACTGGTGTTTATGGGACTGAGGTATTCAGGATGGAATGTTATTTACTTTTTATTCCCCATTGGAGCTTGGAAAATTGGGATATCCTTTTTGGGGATGCCGAACGCTATAAGGGATTTTTTAGGGTTGATTTTATTTTATTTTTCATTTTTGTTGATTGCCTATTTTTCTTTATGAAAGATGTATTAAATGATTTCTCAAATCTCAAAAAAATTGTCCAAATATAAAAAGCTTATGATACTTTTCTTGACAGTATTACTCTAAAGTATTATCATTCTTCAACTATCTAAAAATATTTGAATAATTTGAACAATTTTTTTTTTTTTTTTTTTTTTTAATCTAATTCCCATAAAATACTATAAAGTCCTAATTCGAACTAACAAAAATGGAACACATACTTTTGAAGGGGAGAAAAGGTACAAAAACATTGGAAACAAATTATTACTGGTCAATTGACTCGAAGTGGGTTTTATAGATCGGTTTAAATGAAAATTTTTAATCTATGTCCAATTTGATTATTATGATTAATCAGCTTGCTTCCTAGCCAACTCATTCATATGACATGGGATAAAATAATAATAATAATAATAATAATAATAATAATTAACACTGTTTCATTCAATTCATAATGAATACCATATAATTTATTAATCTAATTCCGCAAGTCATTTATATGCCTGTCAACGGGGTCAATCAAATTCATACTCGATTTGTTAAGTTAACGGATTATCAAACTCGGATCGTCAACTGATTATTGGATTGAAATTCAATCCATATTCTATTTAGCTCGGATTCGGATCGAATTGAATTTTGATTAAAATCATATTCACTAACATGTATATATATATGTATAATTATGAGATTAGATGGAGTGAATTTAGTTAATACTATATAGAATGGTGCATAATATAACTACATAATCAAAATGAATATATTAGTAAATAATTAATATATATATATATATATAACATCCATATAGAGTCTTGATCTCTTGCTCTACTGAGTCCTGATCTCTTGCTCCCATGGAGCAAGACAATTAATTAATCTACACTTTCTATATAGACTGTTAGATTTAATCTAATGGTCATTTTTCAAACTCACCAATAACATTTCATTTTAACACAAAACCACTCTCACCATATTTTTAGTTTATATATTTAATTTGACCATTATCACATATTGTAACAATCTCTCACCATATTTTTAGTTTATTTAATTTTACCAAAATAAGGTTGTGAGAAGAGCTTCACTAGTTTTTTTTGGGTTACTTTATTGTTTTTGAGATGGATTCTACAGTATCATTATTCAATAATCAAACTCACAAATTCACAGATTCAATAATGAATTTCACCAAATGCTCAACTTAAAATTGAAATAGAAAGAACTTTTGTTCAAACTTTAAATGAAATTTTCTTCAATTTTAATTCCAATTCCAATGAATCAATTCGATATTCCAAAATGCAACATTACGTTGTTGGTAAATTTACTTATACTAGAGAAGTATATTAATTTACTTATACTGAGAACAATAACATGTTTCTTAGGAAAATGGTATAATATCATACTGTTGTTACAAAATTGAAAAATACAGGTATTGTTTTTTTTTCAAAGAAACATCTAAATAAAAACAAATTTTTAGTAAAATATAGGGGTATTATTTATTTTTTTCAAAGCTTTCTATTTTTATTTTGGTAATTACCTTTTATTGTTACCGTGATAATAATAAAATTAAATATAAAAATAAAAATAAAAATAAAAATAAATATAGAAACTAAAAATAGGGTGAGATTGGTTTTGTGTTAAAAAGAAATGTTATATGTGGGTTTGAAAAATAACCCTTAGATTAAATAATATAACGGTTTATATAAAAAGTGTAGATTAATCAGTAGTGTAATAATATATATGTATATATAATTTTAATGGCACAATTATTTATAATTTATATCCAATTTATTAAGGTAAAAGGTTATTGAATTCAGATTAGTATATTTTTTTTTTTTTCAATTCATATTCCAATAATCGGATTGAGATCAGCATAGCGAGAAATTATCGTCTTTTTATCATGGTTGAGACTTTATAACGAAATTTGAATAATTTCTATAGGAATTCAAAAAATGGTTACATCACTGTTTCGACTGTTTATGTCTTCGGGACAACGTACTTCCTGTTCCTCTCGCAACCCATCTCAGCTTCCTTCATCTTCTAGGCACTTCTCTTCTGAACAAACCAATGACGGTGGCACCAACGACGACAATGGCGGCGAAGATAAGGACCCCAATATCAAACCCAGATCATCAACCAAAACCAAAAGAGCCCGAAAAATGGCACTCCTCATCAACGACCATCCTTGGTCAGCTGATCTCGAATCTAGTCTCTCTTCCTTCTCTCCTTCTTTCTCTAAAACCACCGTCCTCCACACTCTCCAGCTCATCAGAACCCCATCCAAAAGCCCTTTACTTCTTCAACTGGATCCACCAAAAGGGCTTCGCCCTCAACGATCAATCGTACTTCATGATGATTGAAATCCTCGGCCGCAATCGAAACCTCAATGCGGCACGAAACTTCCTGTTCTCGATCGAGAAGAAGTCCGGCGGGACGGTTAAGCTCGAAGACAAGTACTTTAACAGCTTGATTCGGACTTACGGTCGAGCTGGGTTGTTCCAAGAATCAATCAAGGTGTTCTCGAAGATGAAGTCGATTGGCATTTCGCCTTCTGTTCTCACATTCATTAGTCTCTTGTCTATCTTGCTTCAACGGGGTCGAACTACTATGGCACTCAAGGTGTATGATGAAATGCTTGTTACGTAAGGTGTTAACCCTGACACGTACACATTTAACATTTGATAAGGGGTTTTGTATGAACTCAATGGTTGATGGAGGGTTTTGATTTTTCAAAGAAATGTTGAATTATAAATGTGAAGCAGATGTTATAACTTATAATACACTTGTAGATGGGCTTTGTAGGTCTGGGAAGGTCAAAATTGCGCACAATGTGGTGAGAGGTATGCTAAAAAAGAGCTCGAGTTTGAATCCTAATGCTGTTACTTACACAGCTTTGATTAGAGGGTATTGTGCAAAACAAGGTATTACTGAGGCTCTGGATGTTTTTAAAGAGATGGTTGATCGAGGGCTGAATTACTTGTAACACTCTTATTCAAGGGCTTTGTGAAGCGCAAGAGCTTGACAAGATAAAGGAGATTTTTGAGGGAACTGTAGGGGTTGGAGAATTTGTTCCCGTGTACCTTCAACGCATTGATGAATACTCATTGTAGTGTGGGAAATTTGGATGAAACGTTAAAAGTATTTGAGAAAATGGCAGAGTTGAGAGTCCAACTGGATTCAGCTACTTATAGTGTTTTGATTCGGAGTTTGTGTCAAAGAGGGGATTTTGTGAGGGCGGAGGAGTTGTTTAATGAGCTAGCAGAGAAGGAGATTTTGTTGCATGCCGTTGGTTGCACACCTCTTGTTGCAGCATATAACCCAATGTTGGAGTATTTGTGTAAAAATGGGAAGACCAAGAATACTGAAATAGTGTTTAGGCAGCTGATGAAAAGAGGAATACAGGATCCTCCCTCTTACAAGACTTTGCTCATGGGACATTGCAGGGAAGGTACATTTCAAGCTGGCTATGATCTGTTGGTCCAAATGTTAAGGAGAGATTTTGTGCCTGATGTCGAGACTTATGAATCCCTAATTGATGGCTTATTGCAGAAGGGTGACCCCACTCTTGCCGATCAAACTACAGAGAAGATGTTGAAGAGCTCCTATCTTCCCAAAACATATACTTTCCATTCTGTACTTACAAACTTGTCAGAAAGGGTTGTGCTCATGAAGCCGCTAGCTTTGTTATGTTAATGCTGGAGAGAAAAATTAGGCAAAACATTGAACTCTCAACTGATACTGTAATGCTACTTTTCAGAAGTGGCTCACGGGATAAAGCTCTTGAGATTGTTGGGTCTCTTTATGAGAATGGGTATATGGTGAAGATTGAAGAACTGATTGCTTTCCTTTGCAAGAGTAGAAAATTGTTAAAGACACATCAAATGTTGCTATTTAGTTTGGAAAAAGATCAAAAGGTTGATATTGATATATGCAGCACAGTTGTAACTGATCTTTGTAAAGGCTCTAGAATTAAAGAAGTATTTAGTCTTTATTATGAACTGTTAGAGAAAGGAATACACCGCCTTTGAGCTGCCTAGAAGACTTGAGACACGCCCTTGAAGCTGAAGGAAGAACAAAGGAAGCAGAATTTGTTGCTAAGAGGATGGGGAACAGTTGCAGTTGAACAGACCTGCTCCAAATTCGAGCTCCACAACGATGAGATCTCAACACTTGTAATATCTATAACTGTAATCCATTGTTATTCTCTTTCTTTTTCTTTTTTTTTTGGCAAATATATAATTAAATCTATGGTAAACTGTTATAAACCTCAGAGGTGCAGAAATTGGTTAAATAAAGAAATCACAGATACAGCCACAAGCTTTTATTGTCTTTTCCCTCTTCGATCTTTTTTCTTCTTTCTAAAAAAGTTTGTTCACGAGAAACTGTAAATACTGGTTTCAGTTGTGTGAATCTAAAAGATTTAATCTGTTTCGCAGAATGGAAGCTTAAATGGCCTCAGACAGAGCAGGAGCTGTTGCATGGAATAGTCACCAGCTAAACATTAAGATTCCATCATTGTATTTACTCAAATATAGTCTCTTCTTCCTCTAGTCTAACACTTGAAATTATGAGGAGTTAGCCAGCTTAATTTCTGCTCTCTTATAGAGTTGATCAGGATATTATTGAAACTTCCATTATTCAAGTGAACGTCAAAAAGTGTGTGCACTGAAATGGTCGAGCAATGCCAACATACTGGCTAGTGGTGGCAAAGCAAATCTCAACCAAGTATTAGAAGCTCACCCATTTATTTTAGCTGAAGAAAAGTTGAGGGAGAGAAACGGGTCCTGTTCCGATTTGAGAGAGAGGAGAAAGAAAAAAAACTGGTTCAGTAACTGCATATTTATCAATGCCCTGGCATGGTTTCATAAGAGATTATGTTGGCAAAACATTTCGGGTCATGGACCTTACCCCGATTGAAGTACAAGATTCCTAATCGGCAGGCAAGTTATGCTCTGTGCTTCCCTCTCGCGAGCAATTTTTAAAGTGCAATTGCAATTTTCTACTGTCTACCTATACCATATAGGTATATATATAATCTTTTCGGGATGGCATCCTCCTTTTTTTTTTTTTTTTAGCAGAAGAAAAGTTGAGGATCGAAGATGACGGAGAGAAACGATTCCCTGTTTCGATTTGAGAGACAGGAGGAAGAAAAAAACTGGTTCAGTAACTGTATATCAATGCCCTTGCATGGTTTCTTAAGAGCTTATGCTTGACTCTGGAGGTGGCACAACATTTCACGCATGGACCTTACCCCCATTGAAGTACAAGATTCCAAATCTGCAGGCAAGTTATACTCCGTGCTTCCCTCTCCAATCAATTTTTAAAGTGCAATGGCAATTTTCTACTGTCTAAACCATATATCTGCCCCCGTGCTTCCCTCTCCTCCCCCCCCCCCTCCCGCGTTAAATGGATGTCATCCTGATTCTTTATTGCTGCAACTTGTACAGGTGCGGGTTTATTTGTTGAAATAAAAAAGCATCCAAAAGGAGATGCTGCCCTTGATTTTAGCATATACAAGCATTAAAAGGTATGCATATTAACCTATCCGAAAATCTACATTGTTAGATGACCAAGTTTTCACTGTTTTTCATGTTCTTACAGTTTTTAAAGCTCAGTGTAACCTGTACGTGGCTGTCTTGAAGTTTGACAGAGCAGTCTGTGCATAAAACAATAAGTTGAAATTGTCTTACCTCACATAGTCACATATAATTACTCCTGGTATTACTGTTATTAGATGATCCAGTGTTTTTAACCATTTGATACTTCTTCTTTTGGCCATACCGCCCTTTAATATTTGGTTCGAGAAGTTTTCGTTTAAATTTTTTTCATTGTGCAACCTAACTTAGAGTTGCTATTTATTTACATGACTCCAAAAGTTTTTTTATTTTCGCAGGAGGTTTGAGTATGAATGATTATTTTATCACTGCCGCCCAAATCGACGAGATAAAAACATCAGATCTTGTCCCCAACGTATATGATATACGTTGCAAGGTCATCAACGTATATGACCAGGAGTATGAGAGTGGGGCAGCATTTTGGCCAGACGTGCATCTTCGTATAATTATTGGTTTGATAATATCGCAATTTCTACTGATGGGATTGATAAGCACGAAAGATGCTGGACAGTCAACACCTTTCCTAATTGCACTTCCAATCTTGACAATTTGGTTCCATCGATTTCGCAAAGGACACTCTGAATCAGCATTCAATAAATTCCCATTACAGGTTCGTATGGAATACTTTATTAAAAAAAAAAGAAAAAGTGTGTCCAGTCTGCCTTTTACTTATGAACATATGATATATGTGTATCAATACTGATCTTTGATTACCAGGAGGAGGAGAAAATTTATGCAACAAGATATATCAACGTGTTGTATCTGGTGTTTTTCTGTAAGAAAAGAAACAACTAATGTTGAGGTATTTGAAAACCCCCCCCCCCCCCACAAAAAAAAAAAAAAAAAATACAGGAGTTGTAGTATAAAGGGCTCTGATATCAACTCTTTGGTACAATGAAAGAGAGGAAACATAATTGTTCTGAGGAGTCAGAGAGAGATGGGTCATTTGTAGCCACTTCAGCATCTATTTTTGCTACCCCTAGATCAGTCTATCACCTATTTTACATTCTTACTTTTAAAGGGGCAAACTCTAGTTGCTTAGCAAATGGAAGACATTTACTCAAAATGCTTCAATACAAAACTCATCTGGAGCACTTGTCTTCCTTGATAACCTTGCAGCATTGATTGTCATCCTCATCTCAAAATAACACCCCAGACTTCACCTTAATTTTAGCACAATCCTGTGCTGTAGCTGAGATGTTCAGAAAGGTAGAAATGGGTCATCATACTTCACGTACTTCTTATTTGTTAGAATCATATTGGACCTATGCCCCATCTGCTGCTGGAAATTTGTTGTACTAAATTCCTATTCTATCTTGCTCCTCTGTAAACCAAAACATTTCTTGACTTACATATGTGCTATACAAGGCATGTGGCCTGGCTGATCAGCACAATGACCCAGTGTGATTTGGGCAAGGCCCCTACCTACAAATTTTCTGTTTCCAATGCACGCTCTCCTTTAATACTGCTAACTTCAAGTTGCAAAGTAGGAAACCCGACTTTCTTTTCTTAGGGACACCTCTCGATCAATTTGTTAATTATTCTACTCTTTAATGGTAAAGCTGTATAAGTTTGCATGTTTCCTTCACTAAGATCTTGTTTGTGAGGAGCTATGTTTTTAGAATTTTTTTTATTTTTTATTTATTTTATTTTTGCCTAGTTGATATATGCTTCTAGAAAATAAGGATATTATTTTTTTTAGATATTTCTGCTTAGATACACTTTCGTATAGGTGGATGAATGATTCTACTTCCTGGTGACGGAAAGAGACTGGGGTGAGAAAGAGAGAGGGAGATACACACAGAAACCCAAGATCGAACCACAAAAATACTCATATTGTGTAATTTGTTTGGTTCACACCGTATCATCAAACCAATTGAATAATCTAATGGAAGCAAAACTTGATGTGATTTGAAGAACATTAAAGTGACAATTGGGATTTCTGTGACCGTGAGGTATTCAGATCACATGAATTAAAAAAAAATCGTCTCAAATGGACTGTTATTTACTTTTTATTCCCCATTGGAGGCTGGAAAATAGAGAGATCCTTTTTGGGATGCTGAACACTGTTTGGAATTTTTTTAGGGTTGTTTTTTTTTTGATTGTGTATTTTTCTTTATGAAAGATGTATTGCATGATTTCATAATTCTCAAAAAAAATTGTCCAAATGTAAAAAGCTTATGATGCTTTTCTTGACATCATTACTCAAAGTATTATCGCTATTCAACTATCCGAAAAGATTTGAATAATCTAGACAATTATTATTATTATTTTTATCTAATTCCCATAAAATACTATAAAGTCCAAATTCAAACTAAAAAAAATAGAACACCATGAGCTCTTATGCCTTTGAAGGGGAGAAAAGGTACAAAAACATTGGAAACAAAATATTACTAATCAATTAACTCTTAGTGGTTTTTATAAATTGGTTTAAATGAAATTTTTTAATCTATATCCAATTTGATTATTATGATTAATTAGCTTGCTTTCGAGCCAACTCATTTATAACATGAGATAAAATAATAATAATAATTAACCGTGTTTCATTCAATTTCTAATGAATACCGTATGATCTATTGATTCAATTCGGCAAGTCATTTATATGTCTCTCAATGGGATCATCCGATTTGTTAAGTTAATGGATTATTAAACTTGGAGTGAGTTCAGTTAATATATAGGATGGCGGATAATATAACTACATAATCAAATAAATATATTGATAAATAAATAAATAAATATATATATATATATATATATATATATATATATATATATATATATATAACATCCATGTATATAAATATATACTATAATGTAATAATATATATGTATGTATAATTTTAATCACACTCGATTACCCATAATTCATATCCAATCAGGTAAAAAGTTATTGAATTGAGATTAGTAATTTTTTTTTTCAATTCATATTTGGATTCTCGGATCCAGATCAGAATTAATTAGGATGGTATCGAGAGAAATTGTGGTCCTTTTATCATGATTGAGACTTTATAACGAAATTTGAATAATTTCTATAGGAATTCAAAAAATGGTTACATCACGGTTTCGACTGTTTATGTTTATGCTTCTTGAACTGCAAATAGAAAAAACGAATAATCCCATTTTATGGCCACCATTGCCAAACCACACCAAGCTACAGATTCACAGTCTTCGGGACTCGATACTTCGAACCCATTTCCTGTTGCACCTCTCGCAACCCATCTCAGCTTCCTTCATCTTCGAGGCACTTCTCTTCTGAACAAAACAATGACGGTGACTCCAATGACCACAATGGCGGCGAAGATAAGGACCCCAATATCAAACCCAGATCATCAACCAAAACCAAAAGAGCCCAAAAAATGGCACTTCTCATCGACGACAATCCCTGGTCAGCGAAGATAAGGACCCCAATACAATGCATTTTAGGTATTTCAGTCTTCAAATTGAAGAATTGTCCTTGTTGCTCAATTTGAAAAATGTAAGAGGTTTTTTGAACACGGGTTATTTGCAGATTTTGTATATAGCAAAGTTTTTTTGTTGCACTTACCCATAATAGCATGAATAAATTTTCAAATTAATAAAAAAGAAAAGAAAAAAAAAAAAAGAGTTATTGTCAACCTCACTGAACAAACATATGACAAAGGTCTCATTTCTTCACTGATGATGTCCACCAAACACCTGGGTGTGGAGCTCTTCACGGCTCTCTCAAGGACACTGATTAAAAAATAGATGCAAAAATTATTCTCAATGAAATAGACATCACAAAACTGAACTAACAGGTTGCAGCATAACACCATTACGACGATATCGAATATATAACACTTAAATCGAGAATTTATATCGAATATATAACACTTAATGCAACATAATACATCCTGTTACGATGATATAACACCATTAAATCGAGAATTTAGCACATTTACTCAGTTGTTACATTATCGATTTAAAGTGATTGCATTTATGATGTAAAGTTGTTGCATTAGACACGGGACGCACAAATGAAAAAAATGGCATAGGAGGGCATCCTGATTTCCAAAGCGTCCAACCCATGCATCTCTACCTAACTGAAGAGCCACAACTCACCATCTCAACATCCACTGAAGAGCAAATCTTTCTATTTACTATTTAGATACTGCACAGCCTCCTCATGGTCAATTTCCAGTTGAAAAGATTTCAAGCACAATTTGATGCCAAATTGCAGAACTTCTTTAACGGACATAGTTTCTGCAAGCTTAGCAGTTTCCACTTCAAAAGCTTCTGCAACTTTTCCGACCACTGAAGATAATGCCCAGTTCAAAATGCTCCATCTACAATCAGTAAAAAAGAGCGCGTGATTAGAAGTATCATTTCAGATTAGACAATTGAACTAGGTTTGGCAAACACATCACAAAGACAAAGTTGGGATCAATAATTCAAGCGTTTGCTACAATCTGATAAGAATTGTCATAACAACCATCTTCTACTCGAATTTGTAGACAACCTTTTGAATGAAGCAATTCACAAATGAGATGCAGACTCAACACAAGGTTGAAAGCCTCCAAACATATGAAATAGTGGTACAAGAGCTACCCAATTAAGGAAAAAGAAAAATCAGGCAATATCTTAGCAAGAAAAGTACCAATTTGGTGACTAGAACCACCTATTCATTCTCTCATTTTCAAATTTACTCCATATCAATATGTGATCAAGTCAAACTCCAAAAAACTTTTTAATTCATACTAATATTATTGTTTTCTGACAAGTTTCTTGTTAGATCAATCAAAAACTAGAAAAATACCAATATCAAGGTCGACATACCAGGATGAAACTTGTGACCTCCTTCATAAACCTAATTACACACAACTCACAAATACCAAAGGAAAATAAAATTGAAACGCCAAATTGAAATGCAAGAAAAATAAAACTGAACTACCCAAATTGAAACACCAGAAAATAAAAGCACACACATACACACACATAAAGAGAGAGAAAGGGATCTGAGCAGAAATGAGATGAAAAAGGACAAACAATCTGCATTAACAACTATATATATATATATATATATATATATATAATTTCAACTATATATATACATACACGTACAAACTTCAAATACTTAGAAAGTTAGGGTTTCGTACAAAATAAACATCAAACCCCAATTAAATAATGAATTCCAACAAAAATGTAGCAGTCATGAAAATATAACAATTGTAATAAAATAAAATGGAACACGTAGCTGTTCCATCAACAGCACTGGGTTGAAAATCATGCCCAACAATGCTCTCCAGCACCAACACCAAAAAAGCAAGAGAATCCAACGGGCAGAGATAACCAAAAAAAAAAAAACTCACTACTAGCATTGTGAGTAAAGATCCAATCAGTGCCAACCAGACCTGTAAAATGAGAGAGAGATACAGTGATGCTATAATTTAATTTTTGCAATGTAAAAGTGAGAGAAATAAAAAAGTAAGGGATATTTCCCAAACAGTACAACATCTATGAAATGGTTTAGCAGGACCAACTAATAAATGAGTTTCGACCAAGGTTCTAAACATAACATCATGTCAACAACCCAGGATGAAGACTTACCGAAGAAGGGGATGGTGAGACCCACAGTCAAGGTAGAAATCACCAATGATGTTCTAATGATAATTGCATACTCATTGCCACCGGAGATAAGGTTAATGCACATGTGGTTCTTGCAGTGATTCCTGCACGAACAACAAGCTTGTGTGGAACAGTGTTGACATCAATACAGTAAAATCGTATTCTGCAGCAGGACATAGAAAAGTTCCTCAATTATGGGCTGCCAAATCAGATTAAAATATGACAGCAGAGAAACAGTTAAAAGTAAATATACCTGCACACACAAGCAAAAACATGTGCAGTGCGTAACATGCCCCCACCCCAACTCACCTATAGATTTCTTCGAGATAGTCACATACATTAACAATCCTGGAAGTGGGAAAACTAAATGACATGCAAAATGCCACGACAAGAACATAGAAAAGGTGAAACAAAATCTATGAATTGTATGGGGATCACATTGTGAACTCAAAAAGATAGCATATAAGAAACTTTGTCAAACTATATATGCAATCCTTAAGGATCTTTCCAGAAGTAAATGTGACCATAGTTGTTAAAGGCTCAAGGCACACTAAGGCGCCAAAGGCCTCCTGGAGCCTAAACGCAAGGCGCAGTATAAGGTGCAAGCTTGATCGAAGTAAGGCGCGTGTAGATAATAATCCATATATTATTATATATATTCATAATCAAGCTGTAATTGCAGTTAAAGTAAGTAATGAATCATAAATTTATGAATTTTGTCAAATATTTCATAAGGTTAAACAACACGGTATATGATATAGAACCTTTTTAATTTAGTAGTCAATAAGTAAAAAAGAAAGTGATATGAATAAATGATTAAAAAATACAAGGCGTGCCTTTTTTGAGTCTGGAGCCTACTAAAAAGCGTGAGCCTGAGGGCTTTATGTGAGCCTGATTGAAGGGCCTGGCCTTAAGTAGGTTGAGGCGCTCGAGCTGAGCCTTGATGAGCCTGGGGCTTTTTTGGAGCCTAGGCGCGCCTTTAACAACTATGAATGTGACATGACAGTACAAAGTCTAATTGTGTTGAAAATTTTAGATTTGGTATTTAAGATGAATAATTTAATTTCTCTTGTAATTAGTTGCCATGTACAGAACCATAAAATTTGTAAGATGGATTCAATTAAGTTAAGGTTCATTGCTTAGCACAATGATGAAAGTTTGAATTGACAAGCGTGAGGACACAGGTTTAAGTCTGAAAGCAATGAATTTCTGCAAAATAATGCTTAAAGGATATGTCTCTAGTCCTCTCTCCTAACACCTTGCATAGGCAAGACATGCATTGGGTGGTACCTCTAGATGAATACAACTAAGTTCATTATTCAATGTTTTTGCATTTAAAATGGATGGAAGGCTATATAAGCGAAGGACAGAATACTCTTGTCATTTTAGCATTTGGAATATAAATGACTATAGGCAATAGTATACTTCAAATCTCTGTTTTAAAACTTAATATTTATTACACAAAGCCAAGTCTACGATAGTCAGATAGTTAACAAAGCAGGTATGGTAGTCTTAAGAAATGCTTAATTTGTGAAATACTTAAACCACTTATATTTTCCAAAATTATTTGATAACCCTGTTGGGGTGTCTGGGGGGATGAGGGATCACAAGAAGGAAATAAGCATTGCAGCCCCCAGCCTTGGTATATGACAATAGATTTGTAAATTGTCCGAAGGGAATACTTTAGAATCAGAAAAAGGGCTTTCTAGTCTAATATTTTTTAGACCATACAAATCAAATGTATTCTGAAAGATTATTCTAACCCTAATAACATAACCAAGGGAGATCCGGTTAAGGATATCCCTATCGGAGTCTCGGGCTCCGTTATCCTCGTTACCATTCTTTACTGCTTAATGGCTGCTTCAATGTCCAAACTCCTCCCTTATGATATGGTAACCTAATATTTAATCTTAATGAATAGTAATTAATTATCAAATTTGAAATGACGCAATTTCCCTTGGGTTTTTGGGGGTGTGTTTGGTTTTGATCGAGTGTTGTGGTGATCATGCAGATTGATACGGATGCACCGTTTTCCAGGGCGTTTAGGGGAGCATCCAATGGCTGGAGATGGGTGTCCAATGTGATAGGGGTGGGGGCAGTTTTGGGATACTGACGTCTACGATGGTGGCGAAGTTGGGGCCGGCTAGGTACATGTGCGTGATCGGACGGTCCAAAGTAGTCCCTGCGTGGTTTGCTAGGGTCCACCCGAAGACATCAACGCCTGTCAACGCTTCTGCTTTCCTTGGTACATTTTCTAAGATCAAGGTGTAATATCTTGTTCGTGTGTTGGCATTTTCAATTTGATTTGGTTATTTGTTTTTGAAGTTTGGAACCTTATGCCGTTGGACCCACCTTGAACCGTTTCAATTATTGGAGTAAAAGGCTCCCCCTCATATTGCCTATCGGAGTGTCACGAGAAAAGGCTTGCTCAACTTTATGTGTTCTATGAAATGAATTTAAGTAATTTTATGAATTTTTACTTCATCCTACAAATTAGGTTAAAAATCAGTATTTGCATATCTTCTCTCATTTATTAAATAAGATTGGTCTACATAATGTCTTAACTCAATTACTAGATTAACTATATATGCATATCGTATCTGCATATGGGGAAGATATGCAAGATGGTGTCCCAGGTGGAAGATATGCAGATACGGTTAATCTAGTAATTGAGTTAAGACATTATCTAGACCAATCTTATTTAATAAATGAGAGAAGATATGCAAATACTGATTTTTAACCTAATTTGTAGGATGTAGTAAAAACTCATAAATTTTACCGTTACCTAAAGTCATTTCATGGAACACATAAAGTTGAGCAAGCATTTTCTCGTGACCCTACAATAGGCAATATGAGGGGGAGCCTTCTACTCCAATAACTGAAACAATTCAAGGTGGGTCCCAAAATCACAATGGCCTAAGGTTCCAAACTTCAAAAACAAACAACCAAATCAAATTGAAAATGCCAACACACAAACAAGATATTACACATCTTGATCTTAGAAAACGTACCAAGGAAAGCAGAAGCGTTGATGTCTTCGGGTGGACCCTAGCAAACCACGTAGGGACTATTTTGGACCGTCCGATCATGCACATGTACCGAGCCTGCCCCAACATCGCCACCATCATAGACGTCAGTATGCCAAAACTTGCCTCCACCCCTATCACATTAAACACCCATCTCCAGCCGTTGTATTCTCCCCTAAACGCCCCGGAAAACGGTGCATCCGTATCAATCTGCATGATCACCGCAACACTCGATCAAAACCAAACACACCGCCAAAAACCGAAGGGCAATTGCATCATTTCAAATTTGATAATTAATTACTATTCATTAAGATTAAATATTAGGTTACAATATCATAAGGGAGGAGTTTGGACATTGAAGTAGCCATTAAGCAGTAGAGAATGGTAATGAGGATAACGGAGCCCGAGACTCCGATAGGGATATCCTTAACCAGGTTTTTGACTTCCTCAGCCATGGTCGAAACGGCGGACAACTGGGTTTTATTAAAAATTAATATTTTCATAAAATTAATTCAATATAAAGAAGGATGGCGATGCTCTTAACTTTGAATGGCCGGCAAGGGCGACGTCTTACCAGCGGCGAAGCTTGCAGTTCTAACGATGGCGACGAAGTTACAGAGCTACACCTGATTCTTGTACAAAGCTCCAGCGAGTCCACAACCGTTTTGAACTGGATTACGTCGAGGACACTTGTAGCGTCACCGGACTGAAGCACACTGTTGGTTCGTTGTTCGGCCAGAATCGGATCTCTTGCAGGTCATTGGAGTTGTCCCCTATCGGTGACGATCTGGCAGAACAAAAGCATTTTTTTCTCTATTAGTCAGTTTCTCTCTCAAAGTTGTTTTTGGTATTTTTGGTAGATTTCAGAATTCATTTATCGAAATGAATAGTGGTGATGGTTGTGGTTGTGGTTGTGGCGGTGGGAATGTTGATAGTTATGGAGACTCAGTGTTTCTCTCTTTACCTCGCTATTTTCTCTCTCTATCATCTCTTCTCCCTTTTGCTTTTGTTAATTTTTTTAGTTAAATTTTTTTACTAATAATAAAATGTATTTAGAGAAAATAATATAAATTCCTTCCATTCCAACTTTACGCATTCCATGTTTGCAACCAAATGGTAGGATGAGAATCAACATTCCCATTCCATTATCTTCTCATTCCATTCCCACCTCCATTCTCATTCCATTCCAATTCATTCCAGCGCACCAAACTAGCCCTAAATTCTTCTATCTTCTCAATGAACAATTACTCATATATTTTTATTACATAACTGTGAAGCACACAGATACATCCAAAAAATTTAAAAAGAAATATTACAGCAATAAATTTATAACAATACTAATCAAAGTATAAGTTTAATGCATCTAGGGCTGAATATAAAAAGGATTAACTGCAAAACCGGAAAGCATAGAGAATAATTCTGATTTGTGCACCTGCAGCAGGTCATCCGAGCCTTTTGTGCTGGGTTAGAGAAGTGTGGGCCTCTTCAATATGTCTAGTAAGCAGCGAAATACCATAATGTGAAGCGCTCAAAGCAGCATAATATGATGTCACAATAAGTTGAGTAAACTTTGCAAGCACATAACCTAAAAATAATCACGGTAGTTTCCACGGTGAAACCAATTGATCAAAAGATCAAATTCACAAAAAATATGAAAATAGCCTTATAGCAATAATACCCACAAACTAGCATCCTTATGAAAAATAGGACATCAGAAAAACTACTAGCTATTATTTCCATTTGTTTTTCACTAAGTGTTCCAATGGTGTTAATAGTAATGGCTATTACAAGTGTTAATCAAGAAGATGGAACATTCCTAACCTTTGGCTATTAAAAAATTGTGGCTTAAGCCATTCCTTGTGCAATAATGTGAGATGATGCTGATTCAGGAAAAAAAGATTAGTAACCAAAATCAAATCAAAATTCCCAAGGAGTATGGGCTTTAGAGATATATCATCATTCATCCTCATCCTACCTACAAATTAATATGCCCCAAATCTAGTACGCTGTATATATAAAAAGAGAGATAGAAATACCCAACAAAGCCCTTGAACCAAAAGGGTTACGACGAAAGCGGCTGTAGTGGAAGGTTTGAGTGAAGAAAAGAAACAAATTCCTGGGCGATTCTTCTCTAAGAAACAACAATGTAGAAATAAAAAAATCAGTGAAGAAGAAGAAGGAGAAGGAGAACTGAAAGAGGCTTGATCGGAAGTGTATCCGTCTGGAAAAATAATTAACAGATATATTCGTCAACACAAACCGTACCTATTTCAAGAGTTCGAACATTAGCCTAGTAAATCTAATTCAAAATCGCATATTCAAAGATATGACAAATCGATATAAATTTTGAAACAAATTGACAGTACCTATTTCAAGGTTTTCGAAGATTAAATAGAAAACTCACCAGATTGAGGAGACATTGAGGGGAAAAATCGAGTTATACTATCGATCCAAAGAAACCTTAGTTTGCATAAAGACTCGATAAACATGGCTCTCGAGCCCGATT